GCCCCTTGCCGGCCGGCTCAATACGTCATACATCGGGTGCTCTCGGTAACCTTCGGCCGTGCGGCGCGCGAGAACCGACTCGTTACTCGGTACATTTCTATGAACTATCTTTTGTCTCACGCGCCAGGCGTATTAATGCGTGTCTCATACAAGATGTATTAGCAGTCCTCGTGCACTCGCCGGAGCGCACGATATGAGTTTAGTAAAGCGCTCAAACTTTTTGACCATAATTGGAAATTAATTTTTTTATCCCTTTTTGTATGTTTAAAAAATAAATATTAAAATGGTAATTTAAAAAAATAAGATGACATAATATTTTGTAATTTTTAAATATTTTGAATTGGTGGTTCAGCGCACGGGCGCACTTAAGGTACAGCCGCCACTGCCTGCTGGTATTGTAGCTTTAGATATGTAGTATTTTCTAAAAAGGCATTTGCCAAATTCGCACGTTGGTAAACAACACCGACCTTATATTTATTTATTTTTTTAAAATATTGTATATCTTTCACAGATCGTATAAAACTAGTACTAAGCGACATCATGTCCCTATTACCGAGTGGGACATCATTAGTACTTTCGACAAATACTATGAATTCAGACTTGGTTTCCGAATTTCAGGGTATCGCCGACAATAATCAGCGACCCTAAAGGGAGCGAAGGCATTTGCATCCCGCAATACTGGCGAATTCTCGCAATCGGAATCGCTGCTTGTTCTGAAAGGCAAGGACTCACCCGAATCCTTCTTTTTACGTTTTTTCACCATCTCTCCACATAAACACTTATATACAGACTAAGTTTTACTTCTTTACAATAAACTAAACAAAAATTTGCAAATTATAGTATAAAACTATTTAAAATAATTAAAATTTTCAAAAAGCCTGCGTCAACGTTTCAATTCCCGCGCTCTTTTTTCCCCGCCAAGAACTGTTTTCCCTGCTGTGTTTTTTTTTTAATTTATTTCCGACCTGGATTTAAAAAGTCCTTCAGCCGCATACATCAATAAAACAATTTTCTATAAGAAACAACATAAAAAGGAACCAAACATAAACTTTACAAAACGTAATAGGAAGGAATTCAATAAATCTTAAAATTAAAGTTACTTACATTTCTAAAATAAATAACTATAATCCTATAGAAATAAACCTTTCCCAATGTTGTTGGAATGAAATGGTAAATGATGAATAAAAGCCTGCGGTCTATTTAACAACCCAACCAAGCCGCATTCTTGATATAATCGTTATGAATTTCCGACTTCTTTTGCGCCTAGTTTATCACACCACGGTCTTATTGACATTATATCGGATATATAGTAGTGAAGTTGAATAAAGGCCTTATTGATATAAAGCTAGGAAATGTGATTAATTTTATAAACATAAATGTTTCTACCAGAGATTACATTTTATCTACTATTTATAAAGTCATTGACAACAATAACATGTAAGTTTGAAGTTTATTTCGACTATAACTCTACATATTTATAACAGATGTGCCTAGAACTGGAAAGGACAATACATAGAATGTGTATGTAGTTTTCTACAAATTTTTAAATTCAACCGATGATATCACTCAATATCTATCTATTAAGGATATAACAGTATGAAATATTTCATTTAAACACTTTCAGATTCTCCGCGCTCTCTCTGGGAACGATTCAACGTCATCTCTTTCCGCGTGTTCGCTGGCGTTACCGGCGCTAAGAGCTGCCTTTGCCAGTAGAGGGCCAAAGTTACTGCCGGGGTGTGGAGGCTCACGGAGCGCCGGTATTTTATTGTTTTTAACTGGTAGACGAAATGTCTGACGTGATCACAGTTGCTGCAAAAAAACCGAAACATGGTTATGTACCTAGTTTTTAAAAAGAATAAAATAAGCTAAGTAATCCGAAACATTAATTTCTTTTAAACATTGATAATATTGCCCATTCCCTTTTCCCATCCTTTCCTACCCCTTCTCTTTTTCCTCCCCTTCCAATTTTTCCTCCCCCTCTTCCCAAGTCAAGGGTGGTGACACATCCGCAACATTTCTACGTCGCGGATGTCCATGGGCGACGGTACTACCTCCATCAGGTAGGCCGTCTGCTCGGTTGCCCCCTTTAACATAAAAAAAAAGTTACAGCAGTCCGATCACAACGAACACCTATATATTTTATGAATCTCTCAACTACCTCTGAATGTAAAACGATTACGATCTGTTCATCAACGCTACATAAAAGTTATTAAAATGGGAATATCCAGTGGAGATCCAAATATTCTTATTATTATTATTAGAAAACAAGGAAAACTAAATAACTTATTAATGAGTACACAATCTGCTAGCTAATTAAAACTATTATAATTCTTTTTATTAAAACAAATAACATTACCCTTTTTCACACACCTTCCTTTTGTAATTATTTTAATTGTATCATCAAACAACAGACGACAATGACAAGTTCAAACGAGATTTAAAAATGTACTCGTGTTTTGTAAACACACATCACCAGTTACTATTTTCCATAATTCTTTAATAAATTCATTCACTATTTACTAATTAGCTACTTAAAACTTATTCACTTGCTCTTAGAAAAACAAATGACAATATTCATTAATAACAAAATGGCGAAAAAAATATATTATGAACAGTTTACCGACCAATCAAAGAATCCTGTTTCACTAGTCAATTAACGCGCTATCTATGACATTTTAAAAGAAAAAAGGAAGCAGTGCCTTTCGAAAACACCACTATACGCAAACATTTTCTGCATACAACACGAAAATCGTCCTTGAGATTATTTGTATGAAAAATAAGTACCGAGTAGTTGTGCCTACAGTCTGGCTGCATAGCGGCGCTAGCAGTTAACTGCTTCCGATCAAAAGTGTTTCGTTTCCTGTTTTTAGACGGCACTTTTGACAATTATATCAAATCGCGAATCAAATCTCATTTTAAATGTCGGTAAACATTCGTATTTCGTAATGTATTATGTATGATTAAAAATACGAGTAAGAATTACACAATATTCGCTGGGTGCGTGACCCCAGCGCCATCTAACGATACAACTTACGGTGGCTCTTATGAGAAAATAAACGTGTATTGGATGTCAAATAGTTATTGAAAAAATAAAAACTATGTACCTACTTGAATTTTTTTTAATTCAATGTGAAATGTGATATATTACAGAGTGAATATTAAATTTCAAAAAATATCCGTGGGTCAGCTAAAAACAGTATGTTAAATAAATACAACAACTAAAGCTATTGATATGCTCTTAGATAATAAAGAGCCACCCGTAGATCTGTATTTTCCGCATCGGACGCTGACATCACTTTTGTGTCCCCCACTATGCCTAACGCACCCAGCAAATAAGAGCACAATGTGAAATTAGTGAAAGAAATGACGTACCTAAAATGATAACGTACTTATATATTTCTGATATTGAAGAGTTCATGATATATGTATATACTAGATACCCGCCCCAGCTTCGCAGGGGTACTTTACAAAAAATATAAAATAGCCTATGTTAAACATACTACATACATTACGTTTACATGTGAGTTAAATCAAGAAAAACAAAAATTTCATCATAGTTCTTTCTTTAAACATATTTTAAGTTTAAACTTAGAAAAACGGTATATTTTTATGCCAATAATGAGCTATCACGTTGATTTAATTTCGAGAATTATTAAACTTATGTTAACTTTCAAATGGTTCCGAATTAAATAATTCAAAATTAATTTGCAAATAGATACTGATATAAGCTTGAACACGAAGTACTTAGTTTATTTTGATAAGACTTTATACCGAAATTTGTAAATAGCTTTCCTATAGCCGCTCCATGAATGCCAATTTTTAAAAGTAGTAAAATGGATATACATAGTATCCTTAAGAAGTACTAGATAGACACATGCCATTGCAGACTTTTCGGTAAACCTATAGGAAATACACAATTTTGCCATACACTGTTTTGTTATATCTCAAAGGGTTTTGGCAGCGGTTTTGTAAAAAGCTGACAGACGGCTCATTTATTCCCGACATCTTCAACAAACATCGTTAATGTACACACTAATCAATACAAAACCTTAACAAATTATACAGGGTGACTGGCGAATTACTATCGATACTTGAGGACGTGATATTTGACGATCATATATGACAAAATAAAAATTAATATAACATAAATATTAATAAACTTCTAAGTAAATTTAACCAAAAGTTATGTAATTAATTACGCATCGTGTGAACACCCTACAGATTAGGTATACACACACACACACACACACGCGCGTGCGGCGGCGTGGTGTTGTATCAGCACGCCGCCGCACGCGTCCACACTTGGAACACTTGGAACGTGTCCACACTTTATTTATTTATACGGAAATTTGGTCAAACATGAAGTACCAATTTTTTTTACATAATTCGAATGAGAATCATGTACCGAGTATTCTCCTTAAATATTGATAGTAATTCACCAGTCACCCTGTATATTATTATGTTATAAATGTAGGCATAAATTGTGTTCAAATTATAAGAGATAAAAAGAAAATTTAATTTGCAATGTTATAAAAAAGCTGGAGGCCAAATCATCATAGGAAATAAAATTTTAATTCACTTTATTAATAAGTAAAAGGAAATAGTCGAAACTGACAAAACAGATGACGTTACTAGGGTTATAAGAAATCAGGGCTGTGATTGGACAATTGAGTTTCGACAATGCATTAACAGTCATGTTAGCCATTAGGTGGAGCTCCAGAGCAGGAATTAATATTAGTGGCTGGTTAAGACATTTAAACGGACATTTGTGCGTGGTGGGACGCTCGATACATCTAACAGAGCATCAAACGCCTTAGCAAGATGTTACTTATTTAACATTGATTGGTGAAACTGGGTCTAAATAGATCTGTAGTTAACATAATTGCTACATACCAAATCTCATTAAAAAATCGTATATGTAAAAAATATTTTTAATAGTCTCCTTATCTACATAATAATAAAAATAGATGAATGCGAATAAATAAATAGATTTATTTTTACTTGTCGTATGTATACAAGAGTTGGTTGCCTACATTAATATTGGTTCCGTTATTAACCAATTCAATTCTGTTCTTGTCAATGTCAACATTGAACGCAGAACCGGCTTCTAAAACAACACACTTGGTGACGTAATCTCCTATGACGGGAATCTTTCGCGGTCCTAGGATTGGGTCCTTGTATCGCCAAATTTTAAGTGCATCCATGTCTGAAAGAGAGTATTTTATTATTGTTTTAAAATGAACTATAGTAGCTCGAAAAATTTTTTCACCTTTAAACAGTACTGCTCTGTACATTTTTGAATTACTACCATTATTATGAAGAATTTTTTTTTTTTATTAAAGGACCGGGTATTAATCGTCTCACCTCGTATCCCCTTGACTTGTTTCGCCAACTTCTCCTTAAGGGTATCAAGTGTTTCCCTCTCTCCTAACTTGAGACTAACTGTGAACAGCCCCGAGCGCTGGTCGGGGTTCAGTAACACGACATCCGCCGCCGGGGTCACATGTGTGAAGAAGCTAGCGTGAGGTGAGCCTGGAGCGCATTCCGTACGAGTACGCTCTGGAGCGTCCTCGTCTACCAATTTTATTTCTATGTACTCTAGCTGTGAATTTGATTATAAAAATATAGTTACTTATTTATTTAACGCAACAATAAAGTACATGAAAAGAAACTAGAAAGACGTTTATGGTAAAACAGATTCATCATTTCGAGATCTTTGACAGGCACTCTTTAATATTTAATTTGAAAATATGTATTATCCTTATTTAAATACAATATAACCAATAAACTTTCCAATTAATACTAGTAAAAAAAATACACGTATTACTATTAAAAGTAGAAAGTATGATCAGCATATGTACTTTGATAAAAGCTTACATCGAGGGTATCTCTTAAATACTGCGCATTATCCTGTAGCACAGCCGCTTCATCAAAGGCCAACCCCACACGGAGAGCTTCAAGGCCAACACGTTCTATATTCTCTCTGGTCGCTTGAACAAACGGCATCACTCTCTTCATATACTTTTTCAGATCATTTATTTCTGCTAACTTGCTTGATATTGTTTTATTGTCGGGAAGACCATTTGGCTAAAGCAAGATTTTTTTAGTACATATATTACAAATACTAACAATAGTTACTAGTCAGATACTTACTCCATGCATTTCTTTAAGAGTGCTCAAAATAATATGTTGCCATTTAGGATATTCCTTGGCCACCCAAATAACAGCTTTGTTTGGTTTAGGCTCTTGTTTGACGACTTCTCCTTTCTTTGGCTTTTTGACAGCACAATGATTTTTAAGATAAACTCTGAAGGAGTGAGCAGCCTCCATTAAGTAATTGCTCGCTTTCACCGCTATCTCATCCACTTCTCCAGCAACTGGCCATCTTTCATGAAGAATACTACCTTTCTATTGGCAAAGAATTTTTTTTTATTCCAGAATAAAAATTATTATAATAAAACACAAAGTATTAAATTAAAATCAAATATGTAAGGACGTATAAGATAAGCTAGTACAAGACTAATAAATTCAAGTATCAGTTCAAAATAACTTTAATGTTAAAAAAATTTGTTATATGATGATTAAACTTACATTACCAAGTAGTTCCCAGACATGTTCAGCGACATGTGGGCATATTGGCGAAATGAGTTTCGCCTGGGTACTAATGTACTGTGTTATTAGGCTCTCATGCATGCCTCCCTCGGAACACAACTCCCTATATTTATCTCTGGCAGCCTGAAGCTCAAAGAAACCAGTTTTCAATGCCTCCTTAAACAGCAGTTTTTTGTAATTATCATCAGTCTGAATAATTTTAGTGTTCATTTCACTGACAAATACTTTATCATGGAAATTGTACTCTCCTGAAAATGTAGAACACAAATGTTTTAAGATATTTGGAGACAGAGGAATAAACTATGGTTACTGGATAAACTTCATATTTTTTATTATGCTACCTCTCAACCTAGGTTTTGATTGACATTAACATAATCAAACTTAACAAAATACATTTTAGTAGAATAAATAACTTATTAATAATACTATGTACCTGTCCTGAAATTAGATTTAGTGACCATGACTTCCTTCACCCATTCAATAAAAGTGTAAAGTCTTAAAATAGCCGCATCAGCTGTACTTTCAACAAAGTTAGCATCTTCAACAGAGTCTCCGGCGTCAGCTAGAGTCAGTCTCATTCCATCAGCACTGAATTTGTCGATACTCTCAGAGAGTGTTAAGAAGTTTCCATCAGATTTTGACATTTTAGCTGAATTTAACATGAGATGACCATTTGCTCGGATCCCTTTTGGCCATTTGTCTTCTTCGTTCTCCCATATAGCACAGTGATTGTAGATAAAGAACGTCAGATGGTTCTGAATGAGATCCTTTCCAGATGCTCTGAGGTCTACTGGATACCTATAAACAATTAACGACCATAAAATTTCCTTAATTATTTGTTTAGAAAGCTTGCAACAGAATTAGTTCCAACTTACCAGAATTGGAAAGATTTTTTCATCAATTCTAATTTATTTTTGGATATCTTCGTGTTCTTAGGTATGGGAGCGTCTTTGAAGAAAATATAATCCCAGACCTCAATCGTCATCTCTTCGGGTTTAATTTTCAGTTCATTTTCGACATTGCCTCTAAAGCTGTCGCCTTGTAGATAATGGGATATAGTGTAGTACGCATTGTATATAGTTGAGTCAGAGAGCGATTCAATGACCCATTGTGTGTCCCAAGGCAATTTGGTGCCTAGAAAAAAACTATACATTAATATTAGATTTCACCGGAATAAATATATATATATTTTAACTACGTACCGAGACCGTAGGTACGGGAACAAGCATATTCATGAAGCCATTTAAGAGTAGCTTGGAAATTTTTCCTTACTTCATCGTGATACATGTTCATTCCGGCTAAAGATTTTTCAGCTTGGCCCTTCCATTTTTCATTACCATAATCCAAATACCATTGATTGCACAGTGCGACAACGCATTCATCACCAGATCTGGACATTATTGTCTTTTCCGGTTCGTAATAAATTACAGCAGAGTTATCATCTATCAGCTTCTGTTGCAGTTTCTTCTTAACATCCTGTATTTTCTCGCCTTTGTAATCACCGACCAAGAGTACGCCATCGTAAAATCCTTTGAGATACGCCATTTCTTTCGCCTGAGTCAATTTATCCTTATCGTTTTGACTTTGGATTTTTAGTTTATCATATAGGAATACAGCTGTGAGGTTACCGAACTCAGGTATTTCTAATATGGAGACAGGCTTAAATGGCATGACCATATAGTCTTGGATGCCGTACTTCTCTCTGAACGGGGCTTTCTTTTGGAGATCAACCAATGCGGCGTAATCATCAGGAGAGTCGGACGGTACACTAGTAACGATTCCCGTTCCTTTATCCTCTTTTATCGTTAACATCGGAAGTGAGTAAATTTTCGGATAGCAAGTAAATGGAGATTTCAAAGCCACACCTAGTAGATCCTGCCCTACAATTTCAGCGATGATTTTATATTCGCCATCTTTTTCAGTAAATCCTTGATATGACATGTTCCGAGCTGCTCTCCTCGTACATATGAATACACCGTCTTTGACAGTTTCAAATGCAATATACTTAATTTCAGGATGGACCCAACAGTTTGTCTGACCATACATAGTTTCAGGCCGAAGTGTGGCCGCTACAAAACTTAAGGTCTTACCCTGAAATTGTCTAAACAAATTTACACTAATTTTAGTAGTATTTATTTTAGTAAATAAAATTAATTCACAATATATAAACAAACTTATTCATCTTGATGTAATCGTAATGAATATAACAATATCTTCTTAATATATTACACAAAAAACATGCAAATTAAATCTTATTATTTACTTTAAAACTTCAGAAAAAGGCTCCAAAACTTCCATTTTAATAAGTGTATATTCCTGTGGCCCAGCTCCTTCACCAGTACTTCTATCATGGTCCATACAAGGTTGCTTATCCAACGGAGAAAATATAGTATAGCGTTTGCCATACATAATCTTGTTCCGTTGTTTGAGATGATGAAATTGCCACCTGATAAATGAATCGTAGAATGGATTTGCATCTGTTGTTATAAATTTTCTACGCCAGTCAACCTGAAATTTGGAAACATTATAATTTTAATATCACAATGTAAATTATAATAAATATATAGATAGAGTCTTTAATTTATTGATTACAGCCATGGCATTATAGCTCATTGTTAAAGTAAATAATTGAGACAAAATAAATAAACTTGTGTATTACTTAAACTTGATTGGTATTGTTAAATAATAATATAAAATCAAGTGTAATTAAGGTAGATCATTATATTTTATTAGGCTTTGTTATTGGGTCTTGCTTCTTCGTGCAACACATAAATATAACAAACTAGCTTTTGCCCGCGACTATGTCCATGTGAACATCAGAGGTATACTCTGCCAATACCGCCACTAAATCTGAACTGCACCCACGAGCGTGGGTTTGGAGTCTGGATCGGGATAAGAGCTCAACCTTTTCCAGACTTCCATCTATCTCTACATCAAAATTCATCAGAATCGGTTCCGCAATTTAGGGTTCAAAACGTTACAGAAAGACAGAGTTACTTTCGCATATTAATATTAGTGGAGATACTATTCTAAGATCTTGATTGAAATTAAGTTATTTGATGATTTGAATGACAACTCACAATGAAATACTAAAGTTTAATATTAGGTTTATTATGTTGATAAAACTCTTTGGCAAAAATTAATTCTTAAGTAATTGCTAAGCGTCTAATACTCCGATTGAGATGAAAAAAAGTATCATACTTTCAAATAAATGGCCTTGGTAAGATAATGCTTAATTTGAATAAGAATTACAATATGCATTTAAGGTAGTTTCTTACTTCAGATGATTTAATATTTTTTAGCATAAAAGAGGATAGTGTGACTAAACTAATCACAGTTTGATCTAGATCTAGAAATTCCTAGTACATTATTTTCGGTTTTACACATTGGGTTAAAAAGTAGAAATTTTCTTATGGACCTCTATTTTTTTTAAATAAAATGTAGTGTGTAGCCTAGATATTATTGAGATATTAATTGAACAGTTTTATGATTCTATCTTTTATATTTTAGGCCTCATATGCAAAATAACTAACTAGTTGATTATTTACACCTTGGGTCCAAAAATCCCAAATATCTTATTGAACCCCATTTTTCCTAAAATAAAATTTTGCCTATGTTACTCATAGATGATGTGAATTGTAGTGAAAGAATTTTTAAAATTGGTCCAGTAATATTCACACCTATTCTTTACAAACAAACAAACATACAAACAAAATTTACCTGTTTATAATATTAGTATAGATGTAATATAGTTTTATTGGATACAACACTGGTGGTTGCATAAAAAATATATAAACTCTACTCATGTCAATGAAAATATTGTTTAGTCTCAATATAATTGCTCTAATTTTGTGTTGTTTTGTTAATTATTTGGAAAATTTTCAAGTTCACTCACATGGATTCCCATCCTTTTTAAGTCATCTACAGCACGAGGTGGAAAGTACTCAAGCCAGTAACTCTCATTAGCAAACTCCTTAATTTCCTCATTGGGAACTCCAATACTCTGCATTATCTGCCACTGATACTTAGCGGCTCCCGTCTTAGCTACGGCTTTGCTTTTTTTGCCTTTACTTTTATCTTTAGGGACAATATCCCCTTGTTCCTTTTCTTCTATAACATTGTCATCGGGAAAGGTCGGTGGGCATCCATATAATGCCATTTCTCTTTTAAGCTTATCAGCGCATGCTTTGATAGGCATTCCGGTGCAGTGGAAACCGAATGGAAAGAGAACCTTTCTCCCTTTTAACCTGTAGTATCTGGTGGCAAACTGATATACAATGAATAAGCTTGTGTTAATTAAATTTGATATGACAACTTTTGTAACTTCTCTTATTGATTCATACCTCACATTTTGATAATGAAAATGTGTGCCCGAGATGTAAGCGTCCGTTCATATATGGAAAAGGAAAAGTGCACAAAAACTTCTCATATTCTTTTCCGTCATCCGGCGCTTCTATTTCGAAAATCTTCTCTCGAACCCATCGCTCCTGAACTTTATTTTCTATCTCTTGAAGATATTCAACCTTAAAGGTTCCTTTGCGGTCAAGGGTTGCCTACAGTATTAAGAAATAATAAATACATCACGATTAATTAAGTATTTGTTTTTAAAATTAAATTGTATAACCTAGGTTTATACCATATTGCATTAAACTTTACCATTTATAGTATTCTGAATTAGATGTCCTAAAGAAGAAATACGCAATGTAGTAAATTAATTAGATATTCATTAAAGTTATGAATTAAGCGTTAAAGCTTTCTTTTCTTTTAAAGTCTTTAACACGAAAACCTTCGGTGTCAATAAAGATTTTGAAAGTTGAAACCTACAACGTGCAGTTAACTTGACTACGTTTTGACACTGACACTTGACACTTACATGCCTAATATTAAAAAAAATCTCCATCTGCAGTAATTTTTCGGTTTCAAAAGAGTGACAGAGATGGCCTATGCTCTCGGTCTAGCACTATCTCTATCCTCATAGATGATTGGCGCCAGTTTTCATGACAAGCACGGCATATAATTTTTATATGGTTATAAAATATTTAAGAACTTTCTTGTATATTCGAGTAATGAGTTAAATCTACGAAATTAAAAAAATATATATATCATAGATGTATGTCTATTACACGGATTTAAATTTATTGATTAAAATAATTAATTTAACTGTATAATTCATACGTCATTAATACTAAAAATGCTGAAAATCAGCGAAAGTGAGGTTAAACGTAAAGCTGTTTATGACATTAGGAAATAATAAACTATCCAGAAGGGGCTCATAACGTCTTAAGTACGGTACTATTTTGAGAGAGGTAAAGATAGACTGAAACTTCGTTTCCTCTCTGTCTTTCGGAGTGCCACAATTCTCATCTCTAAGGCATGTCCATTAGCATATGTCGATGCTTAAAACAATCCAATCAGTTTCATTTTAATAAAATTCAAACAATTTTTTTTTAATCAGAATATTTTTAAACGTGCAGTTACTTACCTTACTCGGAAGATTTGCCATTGGAACATGTGGTTTAATCCCAGTGACCATTAAATTTAATTTCAAATCCAACTTCAGCTTTTAGTTCCGGTGATATGTCAAGATATCAAATTTATAGGGATATTATTTTCTGAAAGAATATGAAAAGTTTTTAATCCTAATAAAATAAATATTTATTTTTAGAAATAAATACGGTTAAAATAGTGTACCATACGTCCTTATTTAGTAATTAGGTTTTATGCTTATCAAATAATTCTATCATTATTGTTATTCTATTAAATATGTATTACTATTTTTTAGGTCGATTAATAAATATTATTCTAGTACTTATTTCATAACTTTAAAAATATTAATTTTTTAAGAGCCTCCATAAAGAGAAAAGAACCTCAGCAACTTTTTTTGTTATACGTATTAGAAGCATTGAATATATTTTTGCCAATGGCCAACATTTACATATGTGACACAAAATTGGCGCCATTTGTTGCGTTGTCTGTCATTGTCATTTTACCGGAAACTTCCCTTATGACCCCCTTTGGAAGACGCGCTAAGACGCGAGTGCCGGCTTAACAATTTGTTGTAATTTTTAAAATTTTGTGATTATTTGTATAATATTTCTTCAAAATGGCCCCACGTACAGCTAAGGCTAAGGTAAGATTTAAGTTAATCAACGTGTTACACGCTAAAGTCAACAGAATGAACTGGTTTGCATTGTTATCGACTCTCTATATTGCACTCCAATATCTATTCGTCATTTTGATAGTTGTTTAATGGCTAAATTAGATTCTTTATGTACCTATAATAAAAAGTAAAATATTTTTATACGATGCATTAATGTTTTGTGGCGCTAATAAATTTTTGATAAATTCAAACTGCACTTATATTGTTATCCACGCGTGCTTTAAGCGTTTAATGCATATTCTTATAGTCCGTTGAAAATTAAACTTATGCATCGGGTACTCGATAGGAATTTAACATTGATAGTTTCTCCAACACGAGATCTTTTTTAAATTTCTCCTTAGAATAAAATGTATTTATGATCAACAATACATTGATGATGGTTCATAATATTTTTAACTATAATGGCGCAATTTAAAAATGTGTAGTTTTGAAATATCCTAATATTTAAAACTTAGATAATTTCTGCTTATATATGTGACGAACATTTCTTAAAACATTATAAGATCTGCTTTTTTTTTGTGAGAATTGTGTCATTTTATATTTTATTTGTTAAATAGTTTATACAGGAATTTACTTCATTACAGAAAAATGCTGATGTTAAAGTTTCTGAGAGTGAAGTTCCTAAAAAAGGTAGAGGGAAAGCTAAAAATGTGACAGAACAAGAACAAGTTGTCCCAGAAGTAGTTATTGATAAAAATCCCACTGTAGAAAAAAAAACAAAAAGAGGTAAAAATGCAGTTGTTGAAAACAATGATGAGGCACAAACTATAGTCAAAGATGCACCACCAGCTAAGAAGGGAAGGAAGAAGGCTGTTGAAGACCCTGTTCCTGAATCAAATTTTCTGAATGGAGATAACTCAGATGAAAATGAGCCAGCAGTTCAATCAGATACTGAACAGAATGAAGAACATTCTGAATCAAATGACAATGCTGAAGACACTCAAGCCAGTGCAGGCAAAGGTAGGAAAAAAGTTAACAAGAAGGAACCTATAGAAAAAGAGGTTAAACCTAAAGAAACTGGCAGAGGAAAGAAAAATGTGAAGCAGGAAAATAATGCAGCAAAGAAAGATGCAGAAGAAAAACCTAAGGCCATAGGGAGAGGACGTAAAGCACAGCCAAAGGTAGAAGATGTTAAAGATGATGATGAAGTAGAAGTTAAACCTAAAGGTAGAAAGAAGGCTCAACCAAAAGTAGCTGAAAAGGCACAGAAAGCTGATGATGAAGATGATGAACAAGAAGAAGTACAAGATGAAGAAATTGAAGAAGAGAAGCCAGTTGAAGAGGTAAAGAAGAAAGGTCGGAAGAATGCTGACAAAAAGACAGCAGTTAAAGAAGACTCTGAACAAAAGGATGATGATGTTAAGGAACAAATACCAGTCAGCAAGAGTCGGAAGGGTGCTAAAAAGGACGATAAAGCAAAAGGTATGCCACTATCTTCAAGAATAATTTTTAAAATTTCTTATATTTTTTAATTACATAGCAACTTAATATTTTAGGAGACACAAAAGAAGATGTAGCAGAATCTAAACCGGTTAAAGGGAAACGAGGTCAAAAGAAAGCTGAAGCCAGCGAGTTACCAGACACGGGGGAACCGATAAACAAACGTCGCCGTAAAGATGACAAGGGTAACTAATAGTTGTTTAATATTACATTGACATTGTTTGGTATTACTATGATTAAGTGTGTTTCTTTGATATTATGAATAAAAAGTTTACAAAATTATGCCGTTTAGTTATTTATGTTAAAACCTCTTCAATTGGCCATTATAATTTTACTATTTACTTTGCTCCAACTACTAATTACAGCTTTATCATATGAATATACAATGATTTACATAATATAACTTTTTATAATTTGGTTTTATATTAATAGGGTTCTTTTATTAGTTTTTCTTTACAATGTACCTGTACTAATTAAAAACTTAATTTCATTTATATTTATTCATGATATGCGGTTTTAATTTGGTTATATTTGCATGTTATACCTAACATTATTATTTGTTAATTAATTTTATATTCCTTTCAACCTGTTATTGCATGAGGATATATATGATCTCTTGAAAATATTATAATTGAATTTCTTTCTACATTATGCACCTATTGTTGAGAAGTCTGCTTTAAATATGTAAGTAATATTATTGAAGGTTATTTTATTGTTATAGTGGAGTATAACCAAATCTAACATTTTAATGTATTTATGTTTTTAATATGTAGATAGTTTTGTTCAGTAAAAGTGACATTATTTTCAGCCACCGAGGACAATAAAAAGAAAACGAAAGCCGCAACAGATTATGAATCTATTGATTTCTCAAACAAATCACAGACCTCTCAGGGTAAAGAGTGGAATTTCAAAATAGCCAATTGGAACGTGGACGGCATCAGGGCTTGGATGGGAAAAGGCGGTTTGGATTACCTGAAATACGAAAAACCGGATATACTGTGTTTACAAGAAACTAAATGCGCTCTAGATAAGTTGCCGGATGAAGTAAAAAATATACCCGGATATCACGCGTACTGGCTGTGCAGCGATAAAGATGGCTACGCCGGCGTAGGAATATACACTACAAAGTTAGCTATGAACGTACAATATGGTTTACAAAACGAGGAATTAGATTCCGAAGGTCGAATAATAACGGCGGAGTACGAAGAGTTCTATTTAATTTGCACTTACGTACCTAACGCGGGACGAAAATTAGTTACACTACCCAAGAGATTAAAATGGAACGATGAGTTCAGGAAACACGTTAAGTCACTGGATGAAAAAAAACCTGTCATTATATGTGGTGATATGAACGTAGCTCATAACGAAATAGGTATGGTTACTTTAAATTATTATTAATTGTACTAATTTCTGTGTTCGATCTAATGTTACAGTTATCAATGCATGTTACAAAGACTTGACCTTGAATTTTAAGTGTTTTCATTATGAATAATTTAACAGATCTAACAAATCCAAAAACGAATAAAAAGAACGCCGGCTTCACGGAGGAGGAACGAGCTGGAATGACGGAGTTACTCGGAGATGGATTCGTCGATACATTCAGACATTTTTATCCGGACAAAGTCGCTTATACATTCTGGAGCTACATGGCCAATAGTAGAGCTAAAAACGTTGGATGGTAAACAAACTGTTCATTATTAAATAAAACCGATTATGAGATCTCATTTCGTCCTGTCTGTAATCACGGTTGCTGCGAAGTAACCAAAACGTGAGGAGTATATAGTTGTACAGTAATAAATAACGCATAGTAATCCGAAAATATGACTGTTTCATTTGAATGATTACTCACGAAAGTCTCAGATCTCATTATCTGTTCATATTATTTATATCTTTAAAGTAATTAAGTATTTATAAGGATTTTGTTCTGTTCCAGGCGTTTGGACTATTTCATCGTGTCGGAGAGACTTTTACCATCAATATGCGACAGTTCGATTCGAGGCAAAGTTTATGGGAGTGACCACTGTCCAATAGCACTCTATCTACATTTAACAAGCGCAGATAAACCCAAGGAATAGACGGAATCCAACTGGCGTGGATACATTAAGAAGGACGTCCTTGCAATTATAACATATACTTATCTTGAAATTGTGGTCCACTTGCAATATAATTAAGTTTTTTTTGACGTCGCCAATCAACTACAAAGGCCTACATTTGTCTACTTAACAGTTTATTTGTGTGTAACACGAAGATGTTTTCGGATGAGTCAGGTTCTGTATTAATTCATATTTCGAAGATTTATTTGATTAATGTGACTTAGAATATTTCGTTACAAGATTATTTTGTAAACATGTCCCGAAAATAAAGATTTACTTTAAATACAAACCTTTATTATCGCTACCCAAACAATGTTTGCTGGAATTGTAACAAACAATAATATAGGTATTCATGAAATAATTAATTATTCAATTGCTTATATTTTTATAAATGTTTAAACTATCAACAAATTTTTGATTATTCCTGTGTACCAAAAATATCGAAACAGAAAATAATTACCTCAAACCATAATAATTACACTTGATAAGATGCCGTTATCGTAATAGCAGACATCGTTTACAAAATTAGACAAATATGTTTTTTGTGATAATTTAAAGCTCTGCCTTAAAGGAATTAAAAACTAAATAACTTACAATAAATGTTTGTCGAAGAACTACGTTACAATGCTTAATAAAGAAAACAAAATTTTTTTACTTCTTTAATAGATAATATACGGAACCATTAGTTTTAAATACATCAACATTTTTCGGCACGAGAGACTAGACTACTATCCAATTTTAAAACTATACAGTATACACCTACATTAAATAGTTCCAATAAAAACCAACAACGAAAGAAGTATTAGCAACAGGTGCGCACATGTGTTATTGTTTTGTTTACTTTGTTACGTTTAGGTAAAACAACTAAATATTGTTGTTTTTGAAAGGCAATATTTGTGCAAATCTAAAATACAGAGTGGTGGCACAGCCTAGAGACTTTAATTACAATATTTAGAACTTAGTAATACCATCCTCTCACACTTTCAGAATATCTATTTGAATAGTTCTATTGAATTTCATTCAACGGAAGCCAGTAGAGTTGTGTACAGGGGTTTTTTTCCTGGCTCAGTACAAATCCATTCTAGGCACGATTCCATAGAGTAAAAGACTAATCTCTGTCAGACTAGGAGACTGTTTTGCTTCCAAAAAAGAAAGCCTGCTCTAAACTTGATGGTGGGAACTCGGAGTAAAAGCTTGTTTGTCGAATATCGTTTTTTGACTCGTCCAACTATACATAAAAACATACTTACCTACAGTAAAGGTTTCAACTTTATAGTGACAGAAAGACACTATTTTTTTACTCTTTCAAATATATGATAGTAACGTTATAAAAAGAAAACTGTTTATACAGTGACATCTTCATATATGTAATTCTATTGTACGTATATGTATGTATGTCACTGAACTTACTCCAGATAGCTGGTCCAGTTTAAATGAATTTTTCGTATGCTTTTGGGTGGCGCCCCAGATGATTTAGATTCACAAATCAGACTAGTAGTCCGTATCTAGGTTATTTAAAATGTAAAGGCAGCAACCTTAGACTACTATAAGTATTGTTTTAACTTTTTACATAGGTTAACATTTACATGTTTGGATATTTCTCCCAAAGCGTTTATAACGACATTGAAGGGACCATATAGTTGCGACGTAATATCCGATAGTCGTTATAAGCAATACAGTCATACACAAGTACAGTAGTTATACATATTATCATATGTAGTTACACATCTATGATCTATCTAGTATAGGTTATGTACGTAAACGAGTCAGAAAATAAATAAAAATATTTATTACGAAATTATTAGAATACAAAATGTACTTAGCCGCTTACAGTTATCGGTTAATCATTATAAAAGTACACTAGTTTTTAAAGTAATCAGTCATTTTAGTCTTTTTTTGGCCCAGTCTCAATTATTTTTAGCATTTTACGTTTCACTAGGCGGCGCCGGAGAGTGACCGCTGGTGTTTTAGTGGGTAGCATGGGTCCTTCTGGCCCGTGAATCCCACATAACCACCTCTGTCTCCCCTAAACCGAGGGTTAGGTATAAAACCTTTTACCGCGTTGACAAAAAAAAAGGTAGGTATATAGACTTCAAATTAAAATCTATGATTGTTACGTTACGTTACATCGTGAAAGATAGATTTTGTTGCCATTGTTTTGATATTCACACGGACAGATCTCTCGATTTTGGAAACAGATTTTGAACTTTTTTTGACTTTCAAGCCATACCACACTGTAAGATGATATATACCTATATTTAAACACACACACACTTCAAGGGTTTGAACCACAATTGGTAGTCAACGAAGACGTCCCTTTCGTTGTAGATATTACTTGCCGTGTAAGCTGACATGAACATTAAGTATTATACTGAGGGTACCCACTACCGAAATAGCAAGGGTGAAATTTTTTTAAGGCGGAAGTGGCAATAGCCAGTGTGTCGGAATATTTTGTTTCACAACTTTGTGCAGGTATTTATATTTACTCGTTCTGTTCCAGATTTGAGAAATATTCTTAAAGGCAATGATAAACTGTTAAGAGGTCGTATAATGATTAATGAAATCGTTAATCGAGAAAATAGACCTCTGCTTTCGGTTGATATACATACTCATTTTATGATAGTAAAATATATACCATTTTATAAAACAGCGTCAAAGAATCAATAGGCCGGTGCCATAAATGGTTAGGTATACTTTTAAGATTAATATTCATATCATAAAAACCAAACCACAAGACATAATATTTCAATTATTAGGTAAACTTAGATTTCTTTCTACTGTAGTGAAAGTCTAAATTTGGTCGAGGCTCTTTCATAAATCTTTTCTAAAACGTTAAATATTAAAATGTTTGTTACTGTTAGAAGAAGAAATTAGATTTAACCAATTTAAATATAAACGATGGGTATTGATCACTTATAAAATATTAAATATTTAGAGTAACCAAAAATGAAACAAATAGCTTAAGTAATTTAAGTTGGTTGTAAAATACACACAATTCCTTCCTTACACACTGAATACATTAGTCCACATAAAATTATGGTTTGAAGCTTTTTATTATACACCATCATCATAATAAACAACTAACCGAAAAAAAGTGGAATGATAATTATATAGAACAAAACGTTGAGAACCTTTCAGGGACACGAGTCGAGGCCTTCAGAATTAAAGAACACGACAAAGAAGATTATAAGCCATTGTTTCCGGAATCAACTCTTGAAATTCATTTCCTAATCTCAGTCAAATCATTGTTGACATTTCAGATAAAAAACTATAGTTAAATACATCTTCGAAATAAAAGACGGATTAAATAAAAACTTTTTTGACTTCGATTTCATCGTACTATTATTATTACTTGTTTTGTAAATCATATTTACCTTTCTGATCTTTGCTTATTTTTTATTAATATAAATCATTTTGTGTATCTATGTCGCCGAAAAAATATAAATATGTAAATATATAATTGCGAAACTCACGTGTATTGTTTATGACTTTTTATTTAAATTTTTACTAACAGTAACTCGAATAAAAATATGTCCTATATCAGAATTACCAAAGAAATCAGTAGTTTTCATAAAATTTATGAAATAATATACTAACTCAAGAATAACCTTAAAACGTTAATTACTTTGATTTTGAAAGGAGTAAAAAATCACACATTATAAGCGAAGATTTGAAATATATTGAACACAATTAAAAACATTAAACTTATTAAATATTAATCAACATCAATTCACTTTGTAACAATCACATTCACACATACAGGTAGCATATTTTAATTTGATCCACACAATATTGACATGTCTGGTCCTTTACGACGATGTTTCATATGAACCTAAAAATATATTCAACATTATACAATAAAGGTAATTTAAGGTTATTATATTGGCAAAGGAATTATAAAAATTGTATTTCACTTTGTATAAAAATAACAAAATAAATATAAAAATATATTAGTGAAAAAACTAACTATAGCATTCAAAAGTTGTTACTGATACTACTACTAGTAAATATATTTTTTTATATAAAAATTATTTATAATATATAATAAATACCTGAATAATTTTGCGAAATTCTTCTCTGTTTAATAATGTATATGCCACTTCTAAGTTTGTCAAAGCGCTGTTTTCAAGTTCCTTTAAACCGGAACAGAACAATGCAACACCAGCCTCGAGTCCAGTACCAAAGTCACATTCATCCATTGCTATACTAGCAAATGTTATCACAGGTTGTAATTCAGAAAGGATTTTATCCTTCTGTTCTTGAGTTTTCGCTTCCTTTAAACTTTTGAACATTTTCTTTATATTATCTGGAATAATGTTTTATTTTAGTACTAGATATTATCAATGTAAAATTTTAATGTCAAATTTCATATTTCATTTCAGATGCATAGTAAGTATAGCTTTTTTATATTCAATATAAAGTGTTTAGATAGATATAAAGTCAAGAATCTAGATACATATGAATTAGTTTTAGTAAAAATATTAGAATTACTCATGCTAGCAGATCTGATATATGGACAATAAAGATAAATTTATTTTATTTATACAGCTTACATAAATTTCCCACTCATAAATCCTAAATTTCTTACAATATCTTGGCACACTGTATTTATCAAAAAGTCTGGAATAATTCTTTTGTTCTTTCTTAAGTGTAGATAAAAGCATTTATAAATATTAATGTGTACTTACTATCACTTTCAACCAATTTTCTATAACCCAATTGTGATTTTTTATTATAAGGCACCACTATACCAGCATTATGAAATGTCCGGCACACCGTTTTCTGCATCCTCTTCTTAATATTGTATTCTTCCAAAGAGTATTTTTTTTCTTCGGCCCATTTTTTCAGTTTATCTATCAGTTTCTGACAAGCAACAGCAATGAATGGCGATGTTTTCTTTTCATTTTGCAGAAACCAGCTATAGAAAATTATTTTCAATCAGTAAAATTTTATAACCTCTTTGATTTTGATTTATTATATGATTATACCTACTATACTGCACCAAATATATTTTCAGAAATGGGTGTTATTGTGCAGTCTACTGAGCTATCATTTCTTGCTAAGAATGACGGTTTTTCTTTTGGGTCATCTCTGAAGTAGCCAATGTGGAATTCACTTTTGCCTTTTTTTTTTAGAACAGCCTGAAGAATTAAAATTTATTTTTATCACTCACAATATGTAATAAATAAGACATACAAAGAATTATTTCTCATACAAGAAATCTCTGCCCGAAAGAAACCCTTTCATTTTCATAGAATGTTTTCGTTTCCTTACAATTTTATGACAAGAAAAATTGAGAATATTGTTTGAAGTTGTTAAAAAAGAATATATTAACAAACACATAAGATCAGAAATCAAATAATATATACATAAATTAGAGAAAAAATAACTAACCTGAAATTCAGGAACATCATAAAAAAACCTCCAATGCACCAAGTACAAATCTTTATCATCCAATATAGGTAATTTGCCCAAAAACAATTCATATGGACCTATAAGTTGTAGATTTACACCAGACAATAACTTTTCAACAGATTCTATTTCAGAAAGAAATTCATAAAAGGAATAGAAGTCTTCTGGCATGTCAACTAAGAAGCAGTTCTTGATGACTGATTTATCTGCATCTTTATCATAATAGGACACACTGTCTGACTTGATTAGGTATTTATTACTATCAGTTATCTCTTCAGTTGCCGATATGAGTCCCCCCTTACTATCTTCTACAGCTCTTTCAATACTGGTTTTGGGTTTCTCCTCTGAATTTACATTATCTTTCAAGTCTAAAGTGGTTTCTGCAATGCCTTCTAGTTTTCTAGCTTCATCTAATGTTCCAGTTACTAAATTATCTGAAATAGTACTCTCATCATCATTTTGTGTTGTTGCTTCATCTTTGATATTTTTCGTTTTACGGTAAGGTTCATAACGATGTTTGGTACCTTTCTTGTCAGTTTTAGTCTTTGAGGGAGGTGGATGTTTAAATTGTTTTTGATGCTCAGGGTTTTTCTGATAACAACTCACCCCATATTTGCATGCTCTTCTTGTATCTTTCTGATAGTCTTTGTATTCTTCTGACATTTTTTTATATATTTTTGTTTTTATAAAATTGTACTTTTATGAACCACTAACAGTAGTAGAATATCGAACTTTGACTTTACCAATTTAGAAGTTTATTTCCTGTTGTAAGTTTATCGTATAACGTTAAATTTTACCTATTAATTACAAAAAATACGAACACATGAATTATAATAATATTCGTAGTGGCCTTTGAAAATATTTAGGTTTTGACAATTGAGAGAAACTAGACAGTTTAACTGACAGATTTAACTGACAAAACTCAAAATCACAATAGTGTTACAATACATTTAAGATTAAATAAGTTATAAAATGCTTAGGATTGTGTTTTATATATTATTATTGGCACTGTATTTTTATTATTTTATAAATATAAAAGATATATTGAACAAAATAATTCTGGATTATCTTTTTACCTTGTATCTGAGAATTACAAAAAAGGGTATCACTAGAACATCAAAAAATCTGTACCCCTCTGGCACAGATTATATAGAAATATCAAATCAAATTTAATAATTTACATTTTAGTAAAGTAGTGTCATAGTAAGGTGGTGGTTTCAGAAATATGGTTTATATAGTGGAATTTAAACATTTAGTACCATAGTCAACTAAATAGAGTAACCTTTTTAAATTAAAGTGTTAATAAAAAGTCTTGTTTCGTATATGTTGCTATTTTTCTAAGAACATTATTTTATAAGAGACATTTCTAATTAAATTATCGATGAAAATTTGTATGTATATTAAAAATTCGGCGTGCGTTGATCTGTTGCTTCAGTTATGATCATATGTGTTTATTATTTCAAATGAATAGGTGGTTAAAATATATTTATCTACCAAGGACATGATTATACTAAATTCCAGTCTCGCAAGATATTTGACAATTTCTTCGGGCTTCGGATTATGCTCTTTATGTGGTAAATATTAATTAATATTTAAGTACTTAAATCTTAACATTAACACAATAAGAAATTCAATATGATAGTATATTTTTAGTTCTCCAGCCCAAAAAAATATATAATTTTTACGATGTCCTAGCCAGTAACAAAAGTTCCTTTCAAGTTTTCTGCAAAAGTGTGTGTACATTATATTAAAAGATCTCTTCAAACTACTATAAATTCTATGTCAATGTATTTTTCAATCATTGCTATTTTTATTCAAAAGATCTCTTTAGTTAACAAATATTTTGTAACAGTCAATTATATGTGTATGGTTTAAAATACATATTTATTTAATGAATTATTTTATATCTCATAAATATATAAAGTTTAGTGTGAGTACTAAATTTTTAATTTTGTATTCAACCTTTTATTTGCATTCTTTTTTAGTATTTTTTTAGAACTAACACAATCTATTAAATTCACTAAACTCAAAAGATTTTCGAAAATACTTTTCTTTTGTATTGAGGACAGTGAGTTCTAGAAAAAAATATTATATCAAGATTATAGTTTTACTCTAGTAGTATATTAGGTAAGGTATAATAATTTTCGGTATATATACATGTGGTTCAAATTCTTAGACAACAATCATATATTGTTGTTTGTATCCAAAAAATGCGATATATCATATATATAAGTGTATGTATTATACATAAGTTTGTTATTTATTGATTAGTTTATTACTCTACCTGTGCTCTATATTTAGTTCCATTGTGTGCACACTGAGCCACAGAACTTCAAACATCATAATAATAACACAGAGGGTGCTGTTTTTGTCCATCGCTGTCGGGAATTATATATGTAATAATATTATAAAGGTTTTAACACAGATTCCCGCTTTTTGTAGACTATAAAAAATTACTGGCGAAAAACAATTATACTCTATATTGATTGATTAAAAATAAAAATAATATTTCAATAATTTAAAAGAATATTTTATATTTGGGTATATTGAGCTATTCGAGTCAACTAAACCAGTGTAGATTATGAGTATACAGTATTCTAGATTGCTATAATATTAGACAACAATTATGCTATAATTATGCACAATTTTATGTTAAATGTGTTATTTCTTCTTCTGCTGTGAACTATTTATAGTATTTCTTTTCTTTTGTATTATTGTCACTTTAATTTATCTAATATTCTTGAGTTTGGACCGTTCATGATGAAAAAATAAAACCTTAAATCCTTTTTTTATAAAACCTTATTCGATTAATATCTCATTTCAGTTTGTATTATATCAATGAATTTGCAATTGCATATTTTTGTTTTGTTATCCTACCACATTTATTACTGAACAAATAAATATAACTTTGTTTGTATTTTAGATGAATTAAAAATAGTATTTACATTCCAAGGTTGTTCCATGATTAGATTTACATATTTTTGTGAAAATTTAAAGCCTATTTCATTAATTATATATATTTTTAGGGTAAATTAATGATGAATACAAATTACGATTTTTTTAGTGTGTATATGTTGCGTCTTTGCCAATCTGTGGAGTGAGAACCCTATCATTTAGATAATTCGTGATTCGACGCTCTAACAAAAGAGTTTAGATTTTTTTTGGCTTATATCAACATCCATATAAAAGATTCTATTGATTTTTATTGTCTTCTCAACATCTCGATATATTCCAGATTGTTTATAAAAACAAATATGTATAAAACAACTTGTATCTGTATTAGGTATTTAATGACTTGGAATTTACAAATTAATTTATCAAATGTAATGAGTATAAATGTGATGATAAACCGCAAAAAAGTCTGTTGAAAAGGCCAACATTTTCAATATTTATTTATATCATACATGTTATTACCGACATTATTTAGGAGAGCAAAAAAACCTTTTTTGCTCCCTGTTGCCTCAACCGAAAGAAAGGCTATTAAGTTATTCATGTAGATAATAGGGTAAACAATAATTTATTGGACCTTCAAAGCTTTAAATTATGTTAACTTTTAATTTTCTTTTTCTTATTTATTATCGACATAATCTATTAAGTGTCAATTTTGGAGGCTCAATTAAGTTTTTCCCAATATTATTTGGACGTCAAAAGTTTCAAACAAAAGCACTTAAGATTCTGTAATAATCTATTTATTATAGTAGTGAAATACGTCATGAGTTCCAATCTTTCAGGAACTTTCAAAAAAGACGTCATCTGACAAAGAATGAAAGAAAATATTTCAACGAAACTAGATAACTTTCGTAAATACATAAACTTTTTCTTTTATATTCTATTATATCTTATACTTTCGTCCTTATCACTCTCACGTAATCATATCGATATCCTTTGTCTTATGTAGAAGATATACTTGTTACGTTTGAGGTATATACCCCATGTATATATGTAGTACTTGATTACATTAAAATTATATATCGGCATTATACTTTACCTAAATAAATATTACGTACGTAATCTTGCGGAATTGAAATAGGGTCTAAATGATTTGGCTACATAAATATTATCTGTATACATTAAAAGGATAATTATATTTAATATATTTTATTATTTTTTTTACGTTCAAGATATTTTTACGTCCATTAATTTGATTCCATCATACATTCTTGTTAATTTTCTTTAGTTTTATCATTTCTGTGTCATCATACATTGATCGGATATGAATTTCTAGGGGTGGGCATACGAGAACATTTTGTTTTCAAGGAGCGACGTCCAGAAATAGTATAAACGTGCATTAATGTCGATTATAATCTCAATAGTAAAATTGATAATCCTGTACCCCGAGCCAAAATATATAGCGGTGATATTATATAAAGAAATTAATTAAAAATATACATGCATAATATACATATATATTTAAATGAATAAATATGACATGATTTAATCTCACTTTGTACTACGTTGGTTTGATATATTTTTCTGTATAGATAATACTATGCACGAGCTATTTACAATAGCGTGGTATAAATATACCGCCGGGAAGATTCCGGTTTGCCATCTATTGTTTTGGAATAGGTGTTTGATTACTACACTATCTTTGAGGGACTAACTTACTTCAAATGATTAATACATATATAAAGAGTATAAAATCCATAAGAATATACATTAAGTTATATGTGAACAATACTTCTGAATGACTTTCAATGAATAACTAGCTGTCTCCTTATATTTAGAATTTATATGAATATTTATTAAGACTATAAAGGTTTCTACTCATAATAATTATATAATTAATATATATTTATCAAAGTGTATAAGAACAAACATCCCCGATGTAAACTGAGATGTAAAATAGTTGCATTTAATATGCAAATTCAAGATGCAAAGAAGTTGTTCTTGTATTTATAATACTTTTTTTTTAATTTGAGAACAACTTTTTTCCATTCTTTTTTAAAATAACCTCCGGTCTTGTATTGTTGAAAATTCATTTTCACCATGTTGTTAAAGTTTCTTGAATAACACCTATTCAGTGTTGTCTAAAATTTTTTAAATTTCCGTAATGAAAGATATTGAAGTATGATTAAAAAACTAAAAGACACAGTTGGTAGTTCCTACATATTTTTAATAAATGTATTCGTCAATGATAGTAAGTAATCAATTTTGAAAATCATTTTTAAATGGATTTTCTAAAATTGATTTTTTGGTATACAACATAATTGAATACGAATAATCTGTTTTCCAATATTTGATTTGATGTATTTTAAAGGGAATATTACTTTGTGAGCGAAATAACATAATACAAATTATGAAAATTCAGGAGAACAAAGTCACTAGTATATTTTTATGCCCTATAGTCAATACATTGGAAGGGTTTTAGAACATATTAGATATTTTGTCTACCAGAGACAGGTTCTTCTCCATGAGGGTTGTGATTAATAAGAACGGGGGTATTTTGGTAAATACCAATATTCTTTCCTGATATAACTTACATATCGGTATGTCCAAACTTGAATGAATAACAAGTGGCGAAATCTATTATGAAGTCTTTCGTCTTTCTTTACTGAAAAGTTATACAGGAAATCTATTTATTATAATACAAAATCTTAAAAAATTAAAACAATTATTAACAGAATTACATTTTTTTCACACTTCGACATTTATGGTTAAATGATTTTTTTCTTTAATATGTAACAAGTGTTCAAAGCTTTCCCCGTAAATAGCAGCGTTATGTATTTGGCATTAATTATTCATACATATTTAGGAAAATTTGGGATGTTTTATGTAAGTGGGTACATTCTGAACAAATTTTTACAATTGCTAGGTCTAAAAAAAATTAAAGCACAAGAAACTCTCTCATATCTAAGACAATTTGATTCCTTCTTAGCAAATTGCTTCTTAGATTTGTAATTTTGTCAGAATTTACAAAAACAAAACAGATTTTGTAAAGCTATTCCCAAGGACCGATCTGTTGCGAGATATTTCATTATATTTGTATCAAACTCACTTGGAATATGGCAATGCTCACGTTTATCATGCCTTGAAACCAGATATTTGTTTGGGAAATTATATTACACAGAGAAGCTTGGTTTTCGAGGCTCCAGAACTCACACTATTGTTTGTACATTGTTCCTGTGAAATCAAAAAAGAATCTTCTTCTTTTGCACTTAATCGAACTACTATAGCTTATAAAATAATAAAACATTTTGGTAATAAGAAATTTCGAGTTCTATTTTGTCATTTAAATATATTTATTCAAAGGTTAAAGAATTAAATATGCAAAGATTTTGTTTTTAACAAAAAGCTACGTCACTTTAAAATCTAGATATTTACATAAATTAATAATTTTTCAACTAATTACATATATTAATGACTTATTCCATTCTATATAATGCAATGTATACAAATATAATTGTTATTTCACACATTTAGAATGTAATAAATAAAAATGGAGGATCCAGACGGGAACGTTAAACATGAGATATGCAGTGTCCCAGATACGTCGGTCGGGGCTGGGCGGTGAGCGGAAATCGCTAAGCGACAACATTGTTGTTCGGTTTCCCAGTTACAGCCTCGCTGCGGCTCACGAGAAAATATACAACAAAAATATCTATAACCAAACAAAAATTTTCTGTATTTCGTTAGCACTATACTGATTTATCAGTTTTTGTGTTTATAGCCTACACTCCAGAGCTTATCTCAATAGGTACTACATATATCTAAAAGCTCGTATACGAAACCAATAATAATTAGAGATTTGATAAGCTATCACTGAATTTACTGATCGATGTTCTTTTACAGGCAATGAATACTTGACCACGCCATGGAACATCAAGATGGATGGGCCGGCGAGAAGACTACAGCTGATAATAGCACCGAGCGATCGCAAGCTGAACGCGATCGTGTGCGAGTCGAGTTCTATGCGACATACGACGTCATGACCGGCGTACGAATAGCCGCTACCCTGGGCGGCTTCTTCGCGCTAATGGTTTTCCTCATCGTTTATAAGAGTCGAAGTAAATCGGTGAAAGCCCTGAACGATCCAAAGTTAGTAGAATTAGCCGAAGCCGTGGTCGCAGAGGAGCAGGCGGTGGAGGAAGAACGACAATTGACGGCGGCGATAGAGGAGGCGCTGTCGGAGCGAGCTCGTTCGCGGCCATCGCTCGGTGGCGAGCCTCAGTGGCCGCGCACAGCGAGATTCGCTTCGTACGGCGGCGGCTACGGTAGTCTGCTAGCGCCGCCGCGGAGGCTCGCCACTTTACGCGGCGATTCACTCCCCGGATCAGCGTTGAGGTTTCACGAGAGACGGTCGTCTGGGTCTCGCGACAGACGCTTGAGTTCCGCGACTTGTTCCAGTTCCGGGAGTTCTTATTTGGAGAGACGCGGTTCGTCGGTGGTGTGCGCGCTGCCGGAGAGACGCTTGTCGCCGTGTCCGAGCGAGCGGTTGGCTCCTCTGGCGTCAGTGGGCAGCGTAGGGCCGTCGTTTGCGATGGAGTGCGACCTGGTATCTGTAGGTGCAGACTCGGTGTTCGCGGAGGACGATGACTCCACGAGCGATGAGGTGGAACAGTTCTCTACGGACAGCGGTGGGACCGACCCCGTCGCTTCTGAATGCACGGAACTCGCCAGCAGACCGGCGCTACCTCTGCGCATGGACCACGCCTCTCAATCTCGTGAAACTTTGTTCTAGTCAGTGGCGCTTGTCGCTCTGTTAAGTGTTATAGAAACATTAAAATGTCGACTTTTTTGTTAGACGATATGTCTTCTTAATATACTTATATATCAGAACGTCTACGGTCGTATAAGTGTTCGTTGTATTTAATCGCAGTACTTTTATTATTACTCATGTTTTATGATAGCTTAATGTTTTGAATCCAGTGGAAATTTTGCATTTTTATTTTTATTATGTTATCGATGGGAAGTCCTGCGTCATTCTGTTACGTTACACAGGAAGGTCGATATTTTAATGTTATTTGTATTGTGTAAATAGTTTGTTTTGTTAATACAGTCATGTAACGCAATGTTGATGTTCTCAAGTCATGAAAACATGTAAAATGTGATCTGGGCTGTTAGTTTATAGTTCGTTGGAAACTGAATGCTTTACATACAGCTATTGCTTGAGGATGAATTTATAGTTTATCCTGTAAAATTGGTATTTAGTTTCTACAAAGAAACTGTCTCGCTTATCTGTCCCGCTCATCAAGATTATATGTATATGTATATACAAACAGATATACAAATATATGTATGTATATATATTGTTTTGCGTTGTCTTGCATTTATTTTACGTCTTTAGCGCTCTAAATATTAATGGTATAAATTATCAATGTATAAATTACACAAACTTCATTCAGGAATCTGTGATTTTTCGATGTATTTACACTGCTCGGGGGACTAGTATTTTCGTCATTTTAGTTCATAATGTGCATCTTACATATTGAAAAAAATATTCGCATTTGATTTTGTGATCATCGTAAAAAAATGTTGGTTTTGATAGTGCATGATCCAACAAAACTAAGAACGTCGTCACCGTTTAGTGTTCTTTTTAAAAATTAGGTAATATAAAGAACTGCCGAATTAGTCTTTAAAAGGCGCATTATTTATTAATAAAATAGTAGGACCAGCGCACATTTGTATTTTTCAACCCTGAATCAGTTGCTAGTGTGTTATTGATCACCAAAAACTCTTTCCTCCACAGGCTATACTAAAAATATGCAGGGATTCATTCAAAAGGATTTTTTTTTATGAAAAATTTAAGCTATTGAGGCTAAACTAGATACTTCAAATAGTAGGTACAAATTAGAATGTTGCACTTTATATGTCACAGCTGCGATAAAAATGTAAATTAGTAAGTTGTTATATTATGCCTCCGAATATTTCTAAGGATTATGGTCATCACGTCATACACCTTGAACGCTGATACCGGAATCCACTAGTTATATTCGTGGGACATTGTTTATTTAATGTTAATTATTCATCTGTTTCCAGTAGGAATGTTAAGAATGTCGAGTGTTGTGTTTAGTAAGGTTTATTGGGCTTACGATTGAACTCTTACTTCGATATACAATTATAGTAAAGCTCTTTGATGTTCTCGAAGATTATTTTTTTTCAAATTCGATTTCGACCAGTCGCTAAGTGTGATGTTTTTCCAATCTAGTCAAATGTGTAACTTTAACATTTTTGTACCTCGAGCTCATGAGAGCCACTTTAGTGTTAGGGCTTGTCCCTTTAAACATAAACTCGTCCTGTAGACAACCAAAGATTGTTATTGAGCATATTGAAGGATTTAATGTAACTGGTTTTTTGAAGCATGTACGAACTTTTTCATAGTGATCGTATAAAGTAGATAGAACTAACTCGGTAGGGTAGTCGTCGAGTCAATTTTAAAATATGTATTTTTACTAGTGTCTCATATACCACACACAGAAAATGGGGTACTGTCCTTTTAATGACGAATCTTAGAGGCGGCCTAAAATAATATTGCTTGTAACTATCGTAACCAATACACGGATATCACTTTAAACAAACTGCCACTCTTATTATTTAATGATATATAATGATTGTAACGCACACGGGGTTTTATTGATTCAAGTGTGCCGTACCCGTCTACCGCGGGCCCAGTAGATTAACTAACACAGAACGTTTTTATTACGAATTAGATTTACGTGTTAGTTTATGTAACTGTTCGTTGCTCGAATAAAAAGGAGCTCCTAGTAGTCTGTAATATGTTGAAATGTATGTAAAAAAATATTGTAAATATAAAACGCAACTCAGATGTCGTTTCATTTCACGATCGCATTTTTGGTTTCCTAAATAAACACCGAATGATCATAAAACTATAATAAAGTTAAATATGACTCAATAATAGTTACGCCAAACCGCCAAGCGGGCTAGAAGTCACAAGTGACGCTCATGGGAAGTTACATACTTTTACAGTTTACTAGGTAGGTATATAGATAATGGTCTCAGCGTTGTGAAGTGCTGTTTTAAAATAGAATAATTATTTTTGGATAACAGTGACCTTAACGACAAACATTAAACGTTCCAAGTATAAATCATATTCTGATCAGTATAAAATAAATTCACATGTGTATTAGAAACAACTAACGGTTATACATTTTCGAATGAGGGAATTGTGCTAGTTCCTGCTAACAATATTTATTTATTTACAAATATTATGGCCTAAAATTAGGAAAGCCTGTGTCTTAGGACTTACTATGTTTTCGTATCGATAGCTTAAATATTAAAGAACTTTAAAGTATTTTATTCAAAAATGGTTATGTATTAATCGATAATTAACAATCATAAATTATATCAAATGAGTTGTTACATTTGTGTGCAAATATAATGCTTAGAACTTATTATAAATATATTAGTTTCTTTTTAAAATGAAATGCTATAGTTTCATATAAAAATTAATTAAAAAAGGTTCATAGCCATTATAATATGAATTAAATTTGTAATATTCGTAATTTATTAAAATAAAATATATAATTTAAACAAAAAAAAATATTTTTATTAAATAGCAAGAATCTGTATAGTTTAGAACGTATACTAGCCATTTACTGTTGTCAATGTCAGTTGTCATAAGACAGCAGTCAGAGAAAGTAAAAAATCCTTTGTACAGTTGCGACTTGGAGACCATTTTTCATTTATTTATAAATCTGAAAATATATTAGCTGCAAACGAATTGAAGATCAAAAATGGACGACGATTTACCTACAGACTTCCAGGTCATCGTCGTGGGGACGGGTATGGCATAAGTTTTTTTATATATTGCACCGGGCGTTATGGCGATGGGTAGCCTACTTTTTTATCGATCTAAGCCTTTTCTCATTCGGCGGTCATGCTATGTTGGATTCGTGACTCTTTTCTTTCTGCAAATGAAACGATTACAATAAAAAACCATTAAATAAAACATAATACTCACTTATTATGTTCCATATGGCCGAAAATCACCTTAATATATGTTAATATGTCGTCTCATTTGTTACACTGAGTCATTTATGAAACATTCGTCTAGGAAACTCTGAATGAGTTTAATCGTGATGATACTCTGAAATTCTATTTTTAATAACAAAAATGCTTTAATTATTTTCTTATTCTATAGTTTATAATAAATAAATGTTTTATATTGGGTTTTTATATCCATTACTTAAAAAAATATATATTAATTTTCATCTAATGGTCTAGTATTTCATTAATATAAAGCTTATGAAATAATTTACTTTTATTTAATATTATTATCACATTGGTTGAATCAGTCTAATAAGATTATTTGAAATATTATGTGATGATTATATTATAACAATTTTATTATATTTAAAGTTTAATATTAAACAAGCAAAAAAATAATAATGAAATATATTTAAACAAGTTATAATGCTATTAGAATCTATTTAGTTTTAAAAATATGGTATCTAATTAGAATTCTTACTTTGTTTGATTTCAATTTATTAAGTATATATATAGAACAGGTTAACACAGCATTTATGTAACAATTTTGTGATTAAAATGTGTTATTGTTAGCATCATTTTAAAATGGGTTTCAAAAAATTACTTTGATATAACTTAATAAATTTAAAAGATTATACCTTGTGATAATGAAAATGCTAGTAAACTAGGTAGTAGTTATTTTCACGATAACATTTCTTAAGCATATTAATTTATGAAGAATTATATATTTTTAAGTATAAATAATGTTTGTAGGCATGGTTGAGTCGATTGTAGCTGCAGCATGCAGTCGAATAGGCAAAAATGTGCTACATTTAGACTCAAGTGACCATTATGGGGGTCTTTGGGCCTCATATAATTTCGAGGGTCTTCAGAAATTTATTAAAGAGATTAACTCGGACCCAAACAGGCAACTACAGGTGTACAACTTGATTGAAAAGTGGTATATTGATAAGTAAGTCTGTTTCATTATGGAAAAATTCCTTTTATGTATCATGAATAATATAGTTTTAATAAATTAATATTTGCAATATTTTGTTGATTTCTAAGCAATCTAAAACCTATCTGAATGGTACATTGGTTTAATTTTCTTATAAGAAATATAGAATACCCCTTTATCTGCTTAGTTAGTTACCTTATCCACATTTATTTTAAAGTTAATATTTTAATATACAAACATGAAGGTCTTCAAGAAAAAGGTTTAACATTAAATGTTGCATAAGAATATGTCCTCAATTACTTTAAATGGAATACTATTTTATAAAGAGACTCACCCCAAGAAGAAACAAAACAAGAGACTGAAGAGGAAAAGACTGAGCCTCCCAAGAAGATCTGGAGCCAAGCTGACTTTGCTTCCGAGTACAGGAAGTTTAATATCGACATGACACCAAAGGTTACACATTTCCCATTAGTTTTCAGCATATAAATTTTTTACACAATTCCGCTCATGTTATATCAATCGGTATATTGTATAATATATACATATTATATCAATTTAAGATTTTCTATCATGTTTTAAAATATATGAATTTCTTTTTTGGAACAGTTCCAAGTCAAGCATTCTTTTAACAAATCTAATTTCCTTAGATTTTCTTTGCATCTGAATATGTAGACAAAAATATGCCAAATTCCTAGGAACTCAATCGTTTTATGTACGCTAAAATAAGATTTCGATGAATCAATGGAGGTAAAACCTTGGTACAGCTGCTGTTTTCCCGGGGGCCGTTGGTGGAGCTCCTGATATCTTCGAATATTGCTCGTTATGCTGAGTTCCGTTGTGTGACACGTGTTCTCACTTGGCTCAATGACAAGTTGAATCCTGTTCCCTGTTCCCGTGCTGACGTGTTCGCTACCGAGGCTGTCAGCATCGTGGAGAAGAGGATGCTCATGAAGATGCTCACGTCCATCGTAGGGTACAATGAGGAAGAGATGGACAATGAATTTAAGGGTACATACTATTAACTCCTTGGCTACTAATGCACTACAGCTTATGAATGAATCAACCAATTTTAATAGTGAAACTTAGCTGTTAAAGAGCGTTTAACTAGAATCTTTTCAGTTTATTTTCTGAAGTTTAAGCTTATCTTAGAATTAAAATGAAATTAGCCGATTTTCTGTAGATTTTGTGAATTACGTATTTATTGTATACATATTTCGTATTTATTTTATACGTATTATCCATCAGATTGGACCGACAAGTCCTTCAAGGATTACCTCACCCACAAGGGTCTGACACCGAATCTGATCCACTACGTGTTGTACGCTATCGCGGGCGGTTCAGACGCTATGCCGTGTCTGGAGGGTGTTAGGGAATGTAAGAAGTTCCTGATGAGTCTCGGCCGCTATGGGAACACGCCCTTCCTGTGGCCGATGTACGGGAGCGGGGAACTACCTCAGGGCTTCTGTCGGTGAGTACTGGACATGGATCATTTGGTGGTTTGTGCCCACTTGAAGATACGTTAAAACTCGCTACCATATATATATATATGTAATACCACGATTATTTATATAGCACTTAGGAATTGTAGTGGTTTCCATATACAAACTTTTTGTTTATTAGTTTTTTTTTGCACTGTATTCGTGAATTTTCATTTTAAAGACTAACCCACAGTTAAATTCCTAAAGATAAAACATATACCTGGTCCAACACAGCCAATGCGCAGTTAGTTGCAATAATTTTCAAGTGAGTATTTATGTACCGAAAGCAGTTTCTGTTTTACGATCGGTATTTATCGTTTGAAGTGACGGCCGATAAAAATTATATCTGCCTTTCCATGTCTCGCATGATTGTAATTTTAATAGCGTCATGAGTCACAGCTAGCCACGATTCGTGTAAGCTGCTTAGCCTACTGTACCGAAATAATACGAGAATAATAAATGTATATAGACTGTGGTTTGATTTCTATTGTCCAATTTAAAGGTTGCTTCCTGTTTCCCAAGATATTACATAATAAAAAGATAACCATCAAAAACTGATTAGACTTTTTAAACAATAACATACGAAGTTAATAATAAAATATTTTTACATTTCTACTTATTTTAAAAACGTACAAAGTAACCATGAAAGTGCTGCGGTGATAGTTCATTGACCCAGATGTGCATCGTTTCGCGGATTCTAAAATAAGTTGACTTTCTACAGTTGCGTTTGGGTACTGAATACTGATACATATTTTGTTATGTAATTAATTACTTTTAAATCCTATATTTTATCTATATGGAATGAATAACGATAACTTTTTATGGATTATAATAAATAGAATAGATGTAAATATGTACTATAATATTTGTATAATTTTCAAGACTATGCGCGGTGTTCGGCGGCGTCTATTGCCTGAATCGTCCGATAGATTCGGTCGAGACTAAGACGGGTGACGAAGGGAAAGAGATCGTGGTTATTGGCAGCAAGTCCAAGAACTTGAATTGCGATCATCTAGTCATCGGTATAAACGAGTGCCCCAAGGACCTACTGTCCTCGGAGCCGAGCGAGAGCTCTGATATATCCAAGGCTATATTCATTACCAATGGCACCATAATGCCTAGTGAGAAGGAACCGCTGACCCTACTGAGATTCCCGCCGCTAGATGAAGGTGACAACCCTGTTACTGTTCTCGAAGTCGGACCGGCTACCGGCTCCTGCCCTAAAGGCCTCTGTGAGTACAGACAATTTTGAACTTTAGATTTATATACATATATAATTTTATTGAATGACGCTGTTCATTTTTTTTCCAACACTGAGATCCAAGCAAAAAGGTCGAATAAAAAGAAACCTTTTTTCTAATTGTACCTATATAAATCTGTATATAAAATAACAAAACAGTTTTTTTGTCGATGTTCATACATTTTTAGTAGCGACCGAAGCCATTTGATATTTTTTTGGACCCTAATTCTTTCAACAGCTCCTGACTTGTGAGTCATTGACTGTTAAATTGGTGTAACTTTAAAACGACAAGACGTTATGAATGTGACGGCTTATTTCACGTAAACAAAGATTCTTCAATTAATTATTAAATGAAAATTTAAGATGTTTATTTATTTTAAAAATATTAAGAACTTTTTATAGCACATCACTGGCAGTATATCATTAAACCGACGATGTATTATTAAAAAGTTTGATTCATTGCGTTCGATTTTTAAAAAACCCAGAGCAATGAACCTCACATGCCTGTGTATTTTACAGTGTATTGTACTCGATACTTAAATATGTCTGCCATCTAAAGAATTGTTATCATGTTTTTTTAGTTTATTAAACTTGTAATTCTACATTTAATTTTTGTGGTTATTGCCCAGTTTTGTTGTAAAGTTGATTATTCGAACAAACGTTATGTTTCCTTACACTATAAATGTTAACAGTATAGTAAATTGTTATCAAATGTTCCAGTCGCCGTTTACTTTATAACGAACAAGGTTAAGGATGCTGAGAGCGACCTCATGAAGTACGCGGAGAAGATCTTCGACATGACCGGAGACCAGACCAAGGCTGGCGACAAGCCGACGGTACTACATACTGATATTATACAACGGAATTTTTATATGGATGCATTGATGTTTGTTACACTAGAATGCAGAATATACTGAACGGATTTTGATGTGACTTTTCTATAATATAGTTCAAATATCAGAGTAGAATATAAGCTATAATTTCATAGAAAACCCCATGTAATTCATCTTTGAGGATTAGATTAAAAAAAATGAATATAAAAAGGTAATAGATGGCGCTGTCATTTAGAAACTAAAATATGTCTTTTGTAAGAAGTTATTACAAAGCTAGTGAAACTTAACTCTGACCACGCTAAACGAGGAGAAAGAAAACTCAGCATAACTTGTTAATTTTTTTTATAAAAACTTAAGCCTTACTGAATATTAACAGACTATGTGAACAGTCTTGTTTTGAAAATTACTTTAAATGTTAAATAGTGTATTTTAGTTGTCACATTTATGAATATTTTTATTATATGTTTATGCCTTAGTGCCTTGTAAGTTGAGCTGAAACTGTTTCTCAGAGTGTCCTTCGCGTTGTTCTTGTTAGATATTTAAAAGAAACAATGTGTGTTATTATGTTTAGATTATTATCAATTTAATTTTAGTAATTTTATTATTAAGTGTAAACAGTCTTGGCTGTTGCAAACCCTATCAGAATAATTCCATAATTTAGTAATTTCCTTAAAACACCTTGCTTAGTTGAACTTTTAATATTTATGTTTTAGTTAATTTTTAAATATTTGTCATATATCTATTTAAATGATATCAATATAATAATAATAAAATCCTATATTAAATATTCCAGTGCCTGTGGTCTTTGTTCTACAACGTGAAGGATGTGAGCGCGGGAGTTCGTGACGGTGTTGAGACGGTCCACGTGTGTGCTGGACCAGACGCCGGGCTCGACTTCGACCGCGCCGTAATCCAGGTTATGATTGGTCGATATAATTGTGATGCGTGAGATTATCTTGTCCACGATTGGCTGATATTGATGCGTACCATTACATGATTGATAATTTTACGGTACTATGTTAGGAAAAGAGGTAGATACTAATGCTTCGCTGTCTCTGATTGGTCAGATGGTAATCATTTTAACGATATGTTACTCATTATTTTGACATTAAAGAGACTGAGATGCGGAAAATAATAACCATCAAAATATATGAAGGAGATATTATGGAAAATTCTTACAAGCTGTATTCGTGGAGTTTGTTATTTGGTTCGTAAAAAGATTTGTATCTGAGCTTAGTTGTTAAAGAATCATATTTAATATTGTCTTTTGAACTATTGGTGATCATTTCATGGAACTTCTTATCCATATATAGAGTTTTCGATTGGTTATAGGTCAATGTTGGATGGTATGAACTGTGAGGTATTAATATTAAATGTAATTTGATACGTCACTTATTGATGACAAGAGAGGAAGTGCCCGATTTATTTGTTATTGATTTAAACAATAATAAGTATTTTATTGGTCTACTGTTTCTTTGTTGATTATTTTACTATGGAGGTTATAATATTGAATTGTGTAATCTGTTGAGAAATGTAATATTTGTTTAACCCATGGAAGAATATAAATTATTATAATTAAAATCAAATTAATAATATATTATTATTCATCAAAAATAATATATATATATTTAGGAATTTCAGTCGCTGTTACATTAGACCTTAGAAAGATAAGGTTCAGAACTAGTTAAGTCTTAGATCAATGTATGGGTGGTTGGTACTTGGTAGTGATGTTTGTTAATGACGTTATCAATGATTTTTGTTATGTTGGTGGCATTGATTCCTACAGCTTCTGTATGACATATGTAACAGATCTAAAAAAATTATTAGATTTTCTCTATGGACAGGTTCTAAATTGTTTGTTATATCAGTATTAAGTTAATTGAAGAAGAATAGATTAATAATTCTTCTTATACAATCAGGTTTTGAATCTGTTGCTTCAATTATTTTATAAGACTAGGTTTTTTTCTTTGTTGGGATTTATAAGAGATATTTGATGTGAGATTGTCTTGACTATCGATCAAGTATTTTATTGTTTGGAATAATTTATTTTCATATTTTTTGATATTCTGAACAAGTATATATTAATACAACTATTTGTATAAATGAAAAGAAACTCCTTTTTTGATTTACAAATTTATCATATACAAAACGATGCTGCGGTTTTGTCCACATATAAACTACTTTTGAGATATGCATTATCATAATTTAACCGTTTAATTTGGTTTCTAGAGTTTGGTTTAATCCTAACTAGGTTAAACCATGGAACAATCTCAGAAAAATGTCTTGACTAAGAATAAATATATAACTTTGATTGGCCTTTAATGGAAGGAGTAATTGTGTAACAAACAATAATAATTCAATTGAGAACTTCTTTTTTAAAAGTTTGTTATGAAATAGCCTTTGTTACTTCTTAAGACATTACAGACTTACAAATGATATAGAACGATTAGGTATTGTATATTATTAGTACGGCTTTTGTCATTAGTAACAGACAAATAATATATTCTATTTATTAGTAGAAATGTATATATATACTAGGTGTCCGCCCAGGCTTCGCACAGGCTTGTTACAAAAAACATAAGCCTTGGTAATGTTAAATTGGTTGAATGAGCACTTTTAATAAGATTTAATTAATTAAGTAAAGAAAACAAAAGAAAGAACACACAGTCATCAGTCGTGTGTTATTGTAGTTCGGTTTATTAGCTAAAAAAACAGTCGGGAAGACGGTGCTGGGAAAGGGTCAATAACCATCTCATACGAAGCGACTGAGTGAGCTATCGCGTGGATTTAATTTTGAGAATTATGAAAACTTATATTATGATAACTTTCAAATGGTACAACAGATTTAAATGATTCAAAAAGCAATTTATCAGATAGTAATGCATGCTTGGAAACGAATTAATTTATTTTGATAAAATTTAACACCGTATTTATTTAAATAGCTTTCCAATAAACGCTTTAGGAATGCCAATTTTCAAAAGTTGTTAAATGAGTATGTTGTCCTTAAGAAATAGACATATGTCACCGCGTACTTTTCTGTAGACCTATGTAAGATACACAATTCCATCATATATGATTTTGTTATACCTCCAAAGCTTTAGGCAGCGTTTTCGTTGAAAGCTCTCATACGACTCATTTTTTTCTGACAATCTTTAACAAATATAGTTAATTTACACACAATTAAATACAAAACTTAACAATTTATATATACTAAAACTTTCCTCGAGAATAACGCTATCGAGTGGTGATGAGTGTTTAATAATCCGTGCAGTAGTTTTTCTGTTTATCGCGAACAGACAGACAGAGAGACGCGACAGGGGACTTTGTTTTATAACATGTATTGATAACAATCTCTATTTTTTCTTTCTAACAAAAATAATCCAAATCTATATTTTTCTGATTGGTTTCACCATAATTATTAAACATATATTATAAATTGTATATTATTTTATGATTATAAATTTCTTCAAATATATTTCACTGTTCTTAATGTGAGGTACTTATTAAGTAATAACAATCAAATCAATATTAAAACGATTCCATTTATACATAATGATTAAATAGTAATAAAATAAACATTTATATTAAATATTGGTAAAAATAAATACCTCAGTACATTTTACTATATAAAATCAATATAAAATTTTAATTCATTTTCTCATAACTATTTTTCTATAAAGATGATATTGTATGAATATTACACATTATATTTAAAATTTATCCTAATTTGATAAACATATTCATTTAAAACCACGAGAACGAATATAGATGATACTTATTAAAGGTTACAAAAGATTTACAATCAGTTAGAGGCGAAATAAAGTTGTCTCTGGATTTGGTGTGAAATCTGCTAAAACAAGTTTTAATCGAAAACTTGTTTTATATATATGTATGTATTGAAATAAATTCACAATTAATACCTAGATATAAAAGTTTTTACCATATTTTATTTTATTATTTGTTTAATGATTTTATATATTATATATTCATTATATAAATTGCATATTAATAATAGAAAAAATGATTTCTTATTATTTCATTATGAGACACGCGTAAGTGACATGATTATTAAATATTGCGCAACTAAATTGTTGTTATGTTCATTTCGACAATAGGTCGTGACATATTATATGAATCTAAACATTACGAACATCACAATATTAAACGTTGGTATGCTTACATTAAAGATAATAATATTTTACATAACAACAAATAACGAGGTTAGATAATTACATTGTTCATTATATATTTTAATAATTTGTATTATAGTAATTAAATCACTCGTTCATGTAATAAATTATAAATCTAAGTTTATATTAATCTGTAACATATAATATTTTTGAAGTAGGTACTCATAATATTTTAAATTATTCTTGTTTGTAATTTTTATGTTTACAGTGGTATTTGTACTAAAATACATTTTGGGGTTATGTTATATAGTCGGAACAAATCTTCAAAAAGATCTGCCCGGGCGAGGAGTTCCTTCCCCGCGCTCCGGATCCCGAAGACATCGTGTTCGAGGATGACGTCACTCACGGGCCCGAGTTCCGCGGCGACGAGGGAGACAAAGAGTAAAGATCTAGATAATGCAGCACGTCTTACAGTTATAGACTTAGCGTTTTAAATATTTCAAGGTCAATTTGACGCCCGCTGAAAAATATGTATTTACAACATATTATGTAGCATTTAGAACATTGTACGCAGCTTTTCATCGATTATAACATATCTGAATAGTGTAGACATTTTAACTGAATATGTATTGATCTCCTGTAAACACGTGCTGGCTAGGTGTAAGGTGTAATCCATTTAAGATTTTATAAGCTTTCGCTTCGTATAATGCATTCCGGCTGGTGTGGAAGATTTGGGATACAGGACGTGCTGATATTTTGACGAGTTGCATTTGTATTTTATATTCATAGTTTTTGTATGACATTAAAAATTCTCATAATGCGAGTGTCGTTATTTGTATGGAATTTTATTTTTATATGATGCTGGGTTATCTTGACGCGTCGCAAGAGAAACTTTAAGCTTGATTTATTGGATATTTTTTTATAAAAATTATTAATAAGTGCAATATTGATGTATTAATTAATTTATATTATATTTTTAATGTAAAAAAGAGGTCGGTTGGTAGAGGTCGTGCGACGTGATGTTGGCACACCAGTCATAGGCATAAAATATATCACATACTAATTTTTTGTATTATTAAGTTATTTAGCACGTATTTATTGTCAAATAAACTTTGCATGATGATGCAACTGCATATGATAATTCCATTAAATTGTGATTATTAGAAATTATGGCATTTTTATTGAATTACTTTTCAAATCCTATTAGTTCAAACAAACAAATCCATTTAACTAAGTAGTTCATGAAACCTTACAATACACGTGGCAATTACTTCGTGTGATACCATTGAGGTCAATACTACAGAACAGGCTTAGGTACTCTATGTACATTATTATAGCCTCAGAAATATAATCAAATGTATATTTAAAATTCGAATGTTTTATTCTTTTCGAGACTATTTTTAGTTTACCTTGGAATTTATAATAAGAATTAACATAATACGGCGGTCAAAGGATAATTTATTTAAGTTAAAACAAATTTAAATTGTAACTTCGTAAAGAATATAATAACAGAACAAATAAAACGGTGGATGAAAAAATATACATATATGAATTGATAAGTTACGTAATTGCAGTACTATTTTGATTTACTATATGTTTTTAAGGTTAATGAATAAAAGAAAAAGAGTTCAGTGTTATTATTAACTTTATTTAAAAAGATATTTGACTTACATTTACATAGAAACATGTGAAAACAGATAAATTGGAATACTCAGTAAGCAATAATTACATCTTCTGTATATCTTAATATTTAAGTACACAAAATAATTAACATTATACTCCATATATCTTTATAGGTCTTAAAAATGCTGTAAATTATCACATACAAAATAATGTTGTACAAATATATTATGGTGATTTTAGAACAGACGTTTTTCATATGAGAATAAACCATGTACATTCCCTTCCAGCTGTGCTGAGTATGTTCTCTTCATAAATCTCAGATCTCCTGAGTAACTCATTTCTCGTAACATAGATACCGAGCGAGCACCAATATCTTGGCAACTATGTTGCATACCGGCCTTTAGATATGGTAGGAATCTAAGAACAGAGCCCTTGTCCACTATACTACCACTCACACCTTGAGCTACTCTATGCTTATCAGATTTCTTATGGAAGTAACGGCTCATGGCTGATCCCTTACCCTCTTTGTTCTCCATGGCTTCTAAACTGCCCATACCCCTGTATTTTTTAAGCCTTACGCCATCAGAGAAGAAGTAGTCCCCTGGAGCCTCAGAGGTGCCAGCAAGCAGAGATCCCATCATAACAGTTGAAGCACCTAAGGCAAGAGATTTGACAATATGGCCAACAGATTGTATGCCTCCATCTGCGATTACTGGGACATTAAACTGTCTCGCATAAGAAGAAACTTGGTAGACTGCTGTAGCTTGAGGACAGCCACATGCCATAACCTCTTGGGTTATACAGATAGAACCACTTCCCATACCCACTCTCAGTGCATCAGCGCCAGCTTCAATGAGGTTCTTTGCCTGCATCCTTGTGACCACATTACCACCGATGACTTGAATTTCAGGATAAGTCTTTTTAATATGCTTGATCATATCTATTTGGAAACTGGAGTTACCTTGAGAGGAATCAAGAACAATGACATCTACCCCATTGTTCACAAGCAGATCGAGGCGTTCTTTATCTGAATCCCGTGTACCAATGGCTGCGCCTACTAGCAATTGTTTGTTGGAATCTTTGGAAGCGTTGGGGTAACTCCTTGCCTTTTTAAGATCTGTTCTTGCAATTAATGCTACAAGTTCACCTTGTCCATTAATGATGGGCAGTTTCCCTTTCTTACTTTTCTCAAGTATGTAATTAGCATCTTGCAATGTTACACCAGACTGAGCTGTTATCATTTCATTAATGGGTGTCATTACTTCTTTAAGACTTAGTTCTGGTGAACCTTCCCTAAAATCAATATCTCTAGATGTTACTATGCCAATGAGACGACCACCAAGCTTTCCATTTTCTGTTATGGGGAAGCCAGTGAAACCATGTTTCTTTTTCGCATCTAACACATCAGCAACTGTATTGTCCGGTCCCATGCAGACAGGGTCTCTGATAAAGCCATGTTTGTATTTCTTCACCTTATGCACTTCATTTGCTTGATATTCGGGAGTACAGTTGTGATGAATAATTCCGATGCCACCACAAAGGGCCATTGCTATGGCCATGTCAGATTCAGTCACAGTGTCCATTGGCGTCGAAACCAATGGAGCCTTGATATTTATCTTCTTAGTCAGAGGAGAAGTCAGATCTACCTCTTCAGCAGTAAAATCTATATATCCCGGAAGCAACAGGAAATCATTGTAGGTAAGTCCTTCGCTATTCGCGAATATTTCTTTTGCAGACAGACCATCCCTCAAATCACCTTCTATGTTTGACATGATTTTAGATGGAATTAATGTGAAGAACAAATTTAATTATATAAATTTATTTAATTTACGTATCGCGCACTTTCAAATCACAGGTGGTACATTAAAATACATTAATACACGTGGTGAGACTAAAGATGACATATAAACTATATTTTAATAACACAATTAACTAAAAGATAGCAAATAATATGTTGTTAAAGTATTAAAATATATTTTTAAAGAAAGCACGTCTAGACTACAGTTATAGTCTAGCCGGCTTCTTGAAAACGTTAAAGACGAGAGGATCTAACAACGTGTGTCAATAATTCAAATCACAAATCGTCGCCTGTAGTAGTTTTTTTTTTACTTTGATTAAACACAAGTGTTGCCAGGTTTGGTGTTAAAAATATCATTATTTATATATAAAATGAACAGGTAAAAAGTGAAAATAATATTTAAATACAACAGAAAATTATAAAAATATTTCACAATTTTTTTATACTTTATTTTGTAAATTTTAAAATATATGGTACAAAACCAGCTTAAATATATATTAAATGAACTGTTATCATTTTTCCGTTACTTTAGATGTAAACCAATTACAAAATATTTCAGTTTATAAAAAGGAAAAAATATATTTTTTACATATCGTCAAACAGTTGATACTTAACCATAATGACTTAGGTATTTGAAGTTTAATAGAAGAATAGAAATATCACGATATATAAAGTGTCCAAGTCATGCACGTAGTGGTTTATCTTACATAACCTAATATATTTTTAAAACATTTTATTAAAAAAAGCTAATAATATATAAAAAATCTTTGTGCACTTCCCCGTATAAATTTTGTGCAAGTTATGAGATTACCCACCCCGCAATTATCTTAAAAAGGGGTACAGAGTTTACTCCTCACATTCATTTTCACTCCATAAGTTTTAAATATTAAATAATGTTTCTCAGGAAAGTATGTAAAATATAAATCAATAAAGCTGAATATTAGTTTTTGGCTGAAATATAAATATTTAAATAACTTTCTAACTAATTAATTTACACTATTAATTAATTAAAATACAGACATTTTGTTGTATTTTTATTTGAAAAAAAAGCACTGTGTACTGTAAATAAGGTCACATTCGAAAAGTGAGCATTCGATTTGTAAAAGGACATTTATTTTGTACATAGGAAAGTCAAGTCTTTTATAGCTATGTTACACTTTTTGGTTGGTTTGTTAGTAAAATATTCGAATTTTTTTTCGATACTTAAGAATTTAATAAATATAAAATTTAAACATCTTCAATGCTCGAGCCCGACTTGTTGTTTTTTGTTTTAATTTTACCTGTTTTATTCCTAAATGTGGCATTGATTTAATTATGGATTTATAAATGCTATGAAATTTTCTTTTTTTTTAATGTTTCTGTAAATGTATATTGTTAGTTTTGGATATTGGCAAAATTGTAGAGGATATTTAATTTCGTGACTTTCGGATATCTTTCCACTATTGTTACTCGAAATATGCTTTGAATGTAATCTTGTCATGTAATTGAGTTTTACTGTTCTACAGTTAAAAAAATAACTCATACCTAAATTTAGCTGAAATATCAATCTTATACCTGCAGCTTCTACAAAATTCAGTGAATTATTAAAGAGATGATTCTTTAAAAATAAAAGAGATTTATTATAGAGATGTAAGTTTTTAATCAGGCTTATTTAAATATACAAGTATAATTTCTGTTGGCTAGCTTTATAAATGCACTTGGCCCTTTGTTACACATTTGATTTCCCACTAGATTTTAGACATTAATAAACATTTAAATTAAGATAAATAATTAGTTAAATATTAAAAAAATCTATTTTATTTGATAGAAAAGAATAAATTTTTAATAGTTTATAAAAAGTTCTGTTTATTTTACCAAATCGTTGATTATATTCATCACTAACATATAAAATTATGATGTCTAATTAATCAAATCAAATCAAATTGTCAAACACCACCATATTTTTAAGTTAAGAACAACTTTATTTTTTTTAATTCCAACATTATCTTGTTATATAGTAGGTACCTAAACACTAATTAGTTTATAAGTTAGTTGCAATTTTCCTCAAGTAAAGTTTGAGAAGATACCTGTTTATATTTTTTATTGTGTTGATTTTTTTTAATGATATATCACTCACATATCACTCTTATGTTAAATGACAATTTACCTGACGTAGAAATCTCGGATGTAAACCTCAATAATTATATCTTATTATATATTTATTTTACGTATATATTTAAAAGCTAAATAAATATATTTTGCAATAATTATTACACATTAATATTTAAGTACATATTTACTTATATTCACTACATACAAGGATAAGATAAACTTTGACATCTGAGAAAAGATATAAATTATAAATTAGGTTAAAACTGGTTCGAAAAACATTTGTAAAAAACTAATGCCTTGATTTCCTGCATTGCATTGAAAACAACATTTAATTTTTTTTTACACGTAACGTAAAATTATTGGTCTTTTAATCTTATATCTATCTGAAACTCGTCATCATTTTCTGCTGGCTTAGAATCAACTTCTCTTTTTGGGCCTCCCGTGTATATTTTGTCCCCGGTATATATATACCCATCAGGGTTTAGTGGTACAAAGAACGGTGCGTCATTGTCAGGCTTTTTGGTCGTCTGTTGGTTGGGTCTTTCTGTTGACAGCGATGCTGTTGGAGTATATTCTGTAGGTCTGGACGTAGGATTACTTGGTGGTGAATTCTGATTATTATTATTAGGATATACATTTTGATTATAATTAGGATCTATATGTGCGTTGTTGTTATTTCCATAATTAGGTGTCCCTTGGTTGTTATAATTTTGATCTATTTGGTTGGGCTTATTATATACGTCGACGTTCCCATTACTATATCCTGGTGAGTTTTGGTTTGGTCCATTATATCCAGGTTGATACTGGTGGTTGTTATTCGTATTGCCTCCATTATTTTGATGGTTCCCATTATTATAGCCATTATAACCATTATAACCATTATCGTGAGGTCGGTTCCCGTTGTACTGAGGTCGTTGTCCATTATTATTATTTGTCGGTCTAAATCCATTATCATGTGGCCCCTGATCCGTTGGATTCTCGACTACGACTACGATAGTTTTATCACCAGTTTCTGGTGGAGGGTAATTTGGTGGCGGTGTTGGTGTTCTATGATGACCACCGATGTGAAAATCGAAATTGAACCCTCCAAGAATTGTCTTAGCAGTATCATGAACACGGTCATGAGCTGTATGTATGATGTCCTTCAGTATACTCAAATGTCCGTTACAGTTGACAATGATCGTCAAAAATAAAAGTAATTTCAGTTTCAAATCCATTTTGCACTTTATAATGTTATATTTATTCTTCACTGACACAATGTATTGCGAGAAGCTCGTGCGGTCAACTGATTCGTCTCATCTTTAAGTATATACATGTATGTATATAAGAAACCAGTTCTACATAATAACTATGCATGATGGTCTGAAGATAATTATTAATGACAGACCAACTAAACATTTAACAAAGTCTTTGAATTTATAATTTTTATAAATATAAAAGGAAAAGACTAAAATGTTAATGTTATTAGATCAAATATTTTTTTCTGCATGATAATTTTTAATCCTTATTTTCAGAAATAATTATATTACAAGATCGATATTTTAAACACGTCAAAGTCTTAAAATTGATTCTCATAGTTACTATATAATCAAAACAATATAAAATTCATATAATAATTCACTTGGACAGCGTAATGCATCTTTTATTTATAAGATAAGTAATAATTACGTAACTATGCACATTAATTAAAACCTCCTCTGATATCGATATCTTCACTATTGTTTTCGTTTGTAGGACTTTCCTGGACGTCAACAGGCGTGGCTTCTTCGTTGTGGAAAATTTCATTATGAGAATTTGTGGGGGGGTAGACTTTTTCATAACGTATTGTTTGGTTTATCGGAAATGAATCTTGGGTTTCCGTTGTTGCAATGCTTTGTAGATTTGGATACACTTTAAACGGTCTTTGTGTTCCTTCTGCTTTTTCAGATACATTTTGATTTTTCAAACATTTATCTGGATTAGACATATCTGTTTCATTTAAAATAATTTTATCTCGAATATCCGCTTGCAAATCAGACATGTATGGCCTATACCTTATGGCTATCAATCTGTTTATCATTTCATTATTTATTTGTTGTATGAGTGCGGAATTATAGGGGGTTATTCTTTCGTTGAACCGGTTGTAAGGGAAGTGATAAGGGAGACTCGATATCCAATTCTTTCTATTTATATCCTGGCCAGGGTTCAATGCTCCCGTGGGACGGTTCATGAACGAGTTTGGACGTAAATAAATATTATTATTTACCAATACGGGCGGTCGCATGACTTGTGATTCAGCTGATCGGAACAGAAAGATACAAATGATGGTAAATGATTTAACCTTCATTTTTTTCAATGAAATTGTTTTACACCTTATACAAGATATGTAAATCACCGTGGAAAATATTATATAAGATGAAAAATTAAATGAAAAGGCACTTTTCTTGAACAACATGTAATTATGACACGAGCAATACAGTAAGTGTTTTTGGCTCCATAAAGTGGGTATCTGTAAGATTTATATTTTCAAATTCCTTTTAACGTTTATAATTAACTTTATTGCCTTTATATTAAGATATTTAAATATAAATGAATACGAAGAATGTGCACTAGAAAAAAAAATAAGGATGTACACTAAAACTATGCTTTAAAATATTCCGTCAATTAAAAATAATAATTTTATTATAAAAATCTTATTATTGAGCTCAAGATAGAATTTAATTGTTTTGTAATTAAAATTAGTTCAACGTGTATTTCTCTGAGTCTCTTTATTGGAATGTTTATGAACAAGGGCGTCGCCAGCCGATGGCGCAGGGGAGGTAAGTTGACTTTACAGACTACAATTCATACTTTTCTCATTCTCTATGAATGAGAAAAGTAGGTATGAATTGTAGGTAAAGTAGGTATGAATTGTAGGTATTCTGTGACAGTACAGAGTCTAATGTGTAAAGCTACACGAGCACGAGCTCTTGACTATGCAATAAAAAATTTGTAAATAAGTTATAATAACATTTATTAGAAAAATAGAATAAAAAGGAGTTTGAATTTGAATAAGTGTACAGCGTACAGCGTATTTTTTTTAATTATCAGATTTTAATATTATAATGGTCTTTTTTTAATTATCAGATTTTAATATTATAATTTTAGTATTATAATGATCTCTAGGGGGGGGGGGGCAGCTGCCACTCTCTGCCCCCCCTTGGCGATGCCCTTGTTTATGAATAACAATTACGCTCATAGTCCGAAGATGAATAGTACCTAATCGTTGATGAGAATAATTAAAATTTAAATAGACTTATAGTTTAAGTTTGCGCTTAAATACGAAATAACAACTTGAAAAATGTTAACGTTGTGGAAGCACTTGCTTAATGTTACTATATTGAGACACTTACACAACGTTACTACATTACCAGGACAATGTTCAACAGCCTGGAACACTTATGATGAATGAAATGATAGAATACGTAAGTGAAGTGACTGAACCTGACTCCGAGTGAGAATGGTAACAACATATCGCTTACTGCGCAACAGAAGCTATGAAATCATCTATAAGATACTCCGTTGGTATCGAGGAGGACCAATGCTGGTCCTTGGAATAGCCGGGAAGATCGTCATTCATGGGTCAGCCCTTCGTAATCAACCAGTTCTTCCCAGGAGGTGATATGAGTCAATTATTTTCCAGTTTACTTTAACGAACCTTACTTATTTAGTCCTGTCTCGAGTTTTAACTGGTCAGGATGAAAGAGCAGCTAATTTTAAGGACCGCAAATCTCGTTTTAGTTTTCTTACAAAGTCGTAGTTACCATACACTATCCATACAAACTAAAATGTTTTAGATTGTTCTTATTCAGAGTTTACATAAGGCTTGGATCGCATGATCCAATTTAGGTTTAGCCACGTGATTAATATATAATATTGTGATTCTATACATTTATTTATCCAGGCTCGTTAGCAAGTAAGAAAATATTTGCCAATAACAATATAGATTTAATAGAAATATGTTTTATCATGAAATAGTTATTAAATTTTAGTTTTAGATACAGTATATACACATACATATGTACATATTTATTGCCATAAGAACTTAAGTCATTTATACGTCAGTACATACCTATTATTTAAGATTTTTATACTTTATATGTAGTTAAAATTTAGTTAAATTCAAAATGGTGTAATTATTTATGTAATAAAAGAAGTACATAAGCATAATTACATTATGTCTGTATATACATATTTTGAATCAATCGATTCCCAACTAACATAGAATGCAAATGAGTAAACTATGTACGTATTCATTTTTTAATAAACGTCATAAAATTAGTTTTCTGATTACTGTAATTCAAAATCAATGCAATATATCAATTGCTATAAAATAATCTTTATAAGTGAAGGTAAAAAATATATAGGTAATAATGAAACAAACAAAAAGTCAAATAATAATGTATTTTTTTTTAATACAAAATAGTTGATATTTAGATTAACGAGTATTTATTTTAATAAATAATCTTTTTTTATTGAAAAAAAAGACAGTCAAGGAAGCTAGTAATAAGATAGAGATATTGTAATTTTAAAATGGGGACAGGATTACTTTGGAAATAAAGAAATAAACAAGTACCAATGAATAAAATCAAAATCCTTATAAGAAACAAAGGCAAAGTGGAATAGGAGTTGTTTTGAAAACATTTGCCGTCTTCTTTCTAATCAAGGAACTCTAAAAACTTGACACTACTGAAGAACTACTTAATAAACTTGAGAGGCTACAAAACCTTTGTATTCGGTATATTTTCGGACTCCGCAAATTTGACCATATCTCCAAATATCGAGCTGAACTCAAGTGGCTTCCCGTAAGACTTCGCAGGGATACTCACGTTTTATGTCTCCTTTACAACGTCCTATTTAATCCCCTGTACCCGACTTACCTTCGTGAGCGTTTTGTATTCTTGCATCCCCCTGGTTCTCCTTGTCGCCCCAATGTCCAGTTATTACTCCGTATCCCATCCCATACTTCCAATTTCTACTCAAACTCTTTCTCTGTCAATGCTGCGAGACTGTGGAATTCACTACCGGCTACTATTCGCACTTGTAAGTCAATCTACACTTTTAAAAAGAAATTAAAAGAGTACTTCCTATCCAATATTGATTCGTAATTAAATGGCATAGACATATTTATTTATTTATATATTAGTTTATGTATGTATAATTATCTTTTTATATATATTTTTAAGTTAAATTAATTTTAATGTTTTTTTTTGTTATTATTATTTTTTTTTCTTCTTGTTTAGTATTAGTTTATGTGTTTTTTTTTGTTTTGTTTTTTGTTGTATCTTTTATCCTTTGTTCGACTTTTCCGTCTACCTTAAGTTCTCTGTCTACACTTCTCCCTTCCCGGGTATACTGGAAGAAATCCCTTCTAGGGATAAGTATACCTTTTAAACTTATTTTTCCTGTGTTATATTCTTTTGTCCTTTATGTTTCTGATATGTTTAAAAAATTGTTAAATAAAATAAATATTTTCAAGTAACAGGTATGAAAAATTGGGAGTCATAGTGACACCACAAATATTATTAAAGTAATATTTATATCGTTATGGTGGTTTTATATATACATACATATGTATAAATGATAGATATGAAAGTAAAATGGATAGTTAAATAAAAATACCGTTGTAGACAGATAGTAGTAATATAACATTTACTCGACACTTAAATCTGTCTTATACAAAATAATTCTTAAATCCCCAATTTTTTTACAATCCTTAAATGTGACGTCTATGAGCTGGTAGCCCTCGTGGGTGATGATGATGATAAGGTGGCCCTGGATAGTGATTTGATTGATCTTCAGGCGGTTCTGCTGATAGTTGTGGTTGGTCTTGTGATCCACAATTTCCTCTTATGTTATTGTTATTAAAATAATTGGAGTTTCCGTTATACCCATAACACTTGATAAATAACATTAGTAACAATAATACATTATATATTCCTTTCATCTTCCCACTTAATAATATAAGTTTGATAACATAACAGTACAATGCGTCTTGAGACGACACTGCAATCAACTCACGAAAGAAACAGCATCTATTATTAACATAATTATATACGTAATAAAAAAAACAGTTTCAATGGATAAAAACTAAAAAATTCTGATGTTAAGACCTAATTGAATGGTTTTACTCACATATAGACGTTGAGATTTCTTTGTATTTTTTCAGGGGAGACCAATCTTAACCTTCCATAAAATTAAGTTTCTTGTTCCAGTACAATCGCCAATAATAAATAACATTTTTCTTGGTTATGGTATTATTAATTCTGGCGGTAACCACTGTGGTCCTTATATCTATATTCGTGACCGTTGTCTTAATAATTCCTTTGTTCACTGCCTATGTAGAATGGTCTTAATAAATTGTAATTAAATCATTATAACCTCGTCATTCGGCCTTTGACTCGATGGATAATAATAATTTGACTGCGAAAAAAAGTTTTCTGATAATGATATTGGTAAACAGCAATCTGGTTTTCCCGATGAATAGTGATCTTGCGACATAAAAAATAATAGAGATTAGTTTTGAAATGTAGTTTTTAAAAAAGGGTTATTTAACCGAAATTTAACCGAAAATTCTATTAAACAGTAATACACACAATTTGGACGTGTAATTTAAAATCAAGTTATCACACAATACCATTACCTATAGTTAAAAGACAACTTAAGTTTTTGAAGGTCTGGTAGCTAAAATTATCTGCTTTATGTAGTTTCGTGAGGTACCTGTTTAGGATTCAGAGGGAGGAAACGCCCGGGTGTCGACATTGTGATGACCAACCAGAGGACAAGGTGGAGTATACGGTGGCGGTGTGCTCTGATTGGGATAAGCATCGCCGTGTTCTCAGAGAAGCGATCGGCGGCGACCTCTCGCGCCCGGCCTTAGTTCAGGCCTCCGAGCTTTGGGGATCTTGAGACCACCTCCAGCCACCGTAAGAGCAGGTCTTCGGATGGCGAGTAAGGGTAGCTCGCAGCCCGGTCAGAACAAGACCCGTGCGTAAGGGGCTTAACGTACCGAGCGCGTCTCATAATCCTTCCAAGGATTAAGAGAGAGATCCCGATGTAAAGCCGGGTTGCTGGTGTGAGGGCATTGATATACGGGGACCTGGGATGGAGCAGTCTCCTGCTTCTTCTTCGTCACAACTTCTCAGTTGTGGGGGTTTTTTAGTCAGTAGGAGTCTGAAACTCTTGCCCTGACTGGGTCAAGAGGAGTCATCTTAGGAAAAATCACTGATGTAGATCCCATTAACAATATTTTATAATATATTAATTTTACGTTTTTATTTAAAATCTAAATTGATAAATCTTGCAAAAATTATTGCACATTCATATTTACGTAATTACTTATCAGATTTGAGGCTGATCCCCGCTAAAGCTGGGAGGTTGCCAGCAAGAAGAAAAAGAAGATTTACGTAATTCCTTTTGTTTGCCACGTACAATTATATAAACTTTGACATCGGAAAAAACATATAAATTAAAAATTAGGTTAAAACTGGTTACTGAAACATTAGAAAAAATGCTCTGATTAAATTAAATAAAAAGAACGTTTGAGTTTTATGTTTATTTTACATACAGTAATATAAAATTAATTGTTTCCAAATCTTATATCTATTTGATCTTTTTGGACACTTGGTGGTGAATTCTGTTTATTTTGTTTATAATAAGGGTTTCTATATTGTATTTTATTGTTTCCAGGATTAGGCGTATCTTGGCTGTTATACTTTTGATCTATTTGGTTTGCCTTATTTCCTTCGTCGTTCCCATTGCTATGTCCTGGTGAGTTTTGGTTTGTTCCATTATATCCAGGTTGATACTGGTGGTTGTTATTCATATTTCCTCCCTTATTTTGTTGGTTACTATTATTATAGCCGTCATAACCATTATCATGAGGCCCCTCATCCATTGGATTCTTGATTACCACTGTGATAGTTTGAGGGTAAATTGGTAGCGGTGTTGGTGTTGTCTGATGCCCGATGTGCAAATCGATACTGAAATTATGAAGACGATCCATAATTTTATTGTACGTGGTCTTCAATTTATTGAAATGTCCGTTACAGTTGACAATGATCGTCAAAAATAAAAATAATTTCAGTTTGAAGTCCATTTTGCACTTTATAATGTTATATTTATTCTTCACTGACACAATGTATTGCGTGGAGCTCGTGCGGTCAACTGATTCGGTAAATAAGATAATAACTTTGCAAACAATATACAAACATTTAATAGTGTCATTGAATTATAATATTTTCATAAGTTATAATAAAAGTTCATAAATCTTGATGTTTTTAGATCAACCAAATGGTTGAATATTATTCTATCATTTTTAAATCCATCTTTATGTCAAAGTCTGAAAATTGAATTATAATATTTGAAAAACTTTTATTTAAAGTTCATCAATATTAATGTTTTTAGATCAAACATTAATCAATTAAATATTATTCTATCATTTTGATAATAATATTTAGCGATAATATGAAATCCATCTTTATATTCTAATTTTCAGAAATCATTATAATTCACTCGGACAGCCAGGTAGCCTGGAAGAAATGGCTAATAAGCCATAAGGCCGCCTTTTGTTTCACCGTTAGTTTTAAGTTTGTATTTTTTGTAATTGTCTGTATTGAAATTGTGGTGTGCAAAAAAGTATTAAAGAATAATAATAAATAATAATTATGTAACTATGTACTTTAATCAAAACCTCCTCTATTATCGATATCTTCACTATTGTTTTCGCTTGTGGGACTTTCCTGGACGTCAACAGGCGTGACTTCTTCATTGAGGAAAATTTAATGATGAGAATTTAGGAGAGGATTCGCTTTTTCATAACTATTTTTTTGTATTATCGGAAATGCATCTTGGGTTTCCGTTGTTGCAATGCTTTGTAGATTTGGATACACTTTGAACGGTCTTTGTTTTTCTTCTTGGTTTGCAGTTATATTATGTAGTTATTTCGTTCGTGTTTGTATGTTCTCATTTCAAAAAAGTTGAAATTTGTTCATTTCATTTATTTCTTTCTTTTTCTCGAACAAACTGTAAATATCTTTTTTTCAGTCCCACTCTTATATTTTTTATCAGAAATATTGTAAAATAATATATTGTCCTGAAAATAAACAAAGCACTGGATGGAATGTTAATTTTAATCAATACTTTTTAATGAGTGTAGTAATTCCCAAATTACAATCATTAAATATCGAACTCGTTCGATTCATTTAGTTTTGAAAACTGAAATAAAAATCAACAAGTCGTGTTTTATAATTATTTTTACTAACCCACTGCCTATTAAAAACAGCTGGTCTAGTTACGCTGAATACTTGATTGATCAAAGTGTTGCTAACCTTATGATCGGACTTCTTTAATTCTATATAATTTTTAGTATTGTGTATTAGTTTCAGTTCGGATGGCGGCCTTCTGTATTCTCGGGGCCCTGGGCTGCAGTCCAAAAAGCCTTAAGGTACATTCGCCCCTGTGATTCTTTCTTTGAACCGGTTGTAAGGGAAGTGATAAGGGAAACTCGATATCCAATTCTTTCTATTTATATCCTGGCCAGGGTTCAATGTTCCCGTGGGACGGCTCATGAACGAGTTTGGACGTAAATAAATATTATTATTTACCAATACGGGCGGTCGCATGACTTGTGATTCAGATGATCGGAACAGAAAGATACAAATGATGGTAAATGATTTAACCTTCATTTTTTTCATGTGATGTGTAAATCACCATGGAAAATATTATATAATATGAGATATCAAATTATAAGGCACTTTTCTTGTACAATATGTAATTATGACTCGAGCAATACAGTAAGTGAATTTTGCTACTTAAAAGGGTGTCTGTAAGATTTATATTTTCAAATTCCTTTAACGTTTATAATTAACTAGTAGTTATCTCTTTATTTTGAATCTCATAAATGAATACGAAGATTGTGCACGAGAAAAAAATAACAATGCTCACTAAAACTGTGCTTCAAAATATTTCGTTCAATAATGAGATCGATCGAGATGGCCTGCGCAGCGCCAAGAGCTTGTGGCGGCTTCCAGCGGAGTAGACTTGTCGCTTTCGAGTATCGTGAAGAAGATGCTCGAGAGTGATAGGTCCTGGCTGGCGGTGTCCTCCTTCTGTGAGACGGTCATGTCCACGAAAGAGGCCTCGTTATCGGGAAAGAGAGGGTGCGGCTGATGCACCCTCCCTCCGCAGACGACGTACGGGGGTGCGACGGAGGCGATTCCAACGCCTCCAATAGCTCCTCTGTGCTCCGGGCCGGGGTCGGCGTGGTAACCCGGCTCCAGTGAAGGCCCGGCGTCGTCGGGGCGGTCCTAATTGCCGGGATCGCCCCCATTCTCTGAGGGAGTAAGTCCGGTCTTTGCCAGGGGCCGGCCAGTCGCTGGTGTACCCTGTTGCTGACAGATACACCAACATAGCGGCCGATGGCTTTCGCAGTGGTTTCAGTGAGTAGCCTGAACAGGCCGAGCCTCACACATCCCTTCCGGCCCCACCAAGGCCGGTTTCCCTGCGACATCAAAAAAAAATGTCTAGATCTTTAACTGTCCAGCAAGAAAGAGCGGCTAATTTTAAGGACCAGAAATCTCGTTTTAATTTTCTTACAAAACCATAGCCATAGCTAACCATTACCCAATACTATCTAGTATCTATACAAACTATTTTTTTTTACATTTTACTTATACAGAGTTTATTTAGATAAGGCTTGTATCACATGATCCAATTTAGGATATTTATTTGTTTATCCAGTCTCGTTAGTAAGAATATATTTTGCCTACAATATTTGCCTATAATAAAAACCTGTTTATTAATGAAATGGTGGTTTTATATGATAGACATATTTATGAGCAAAAGAACATTTTATACGTTAGTATTACTTAAGATTTTTATTGCTTTATAGTTATTGAAATAAGTCTACTTTATATAAGAATATATTTATCGTATATAATATCTTAAAACCTATTTAATCGGAAATAAACTGAAAATGATGGTATTACTTAAGTATTAAATTGATAAGTACCGAAGTATAATTTGGTATGATATGCATTATGTCTGAGAGCATATTGCATCAATCAATTTTCAACTAACATTGAATGCAAATGACAAAAAAACTACATTTTTGTCTTTTAATAAACGTCATAATATTAGTTATGCTCTTTGAATCTTTGAATCATTTTCCTTGTTTTTTTAACTATTATATTCTTTGATTCATTTAAATTTAAAAAATTGGTCCAGTAATAAGGTTCATACGGGAGAATAAAAAAATATAATCATGTAATAAACAAAACGTAAAATATACATAAATAATGTATTTCTCAAAAAAATTATTTCTCAATATTTAGAATTCAAAATATTTTTTCTTATTGAAGGAACAGTCAAAGCAAGCTAGTAATAAGACAGAGATAATAAGGATAGGTTTAATTTGGAAGTAAAGAAATAAAGTACCAATAGATAAAATCAAAATCCTTATAATAAACAAATACTAAGTTCTTTTGAAAATATTTTCGTTTTCTTTCTAATCAAGAAACTCTAAACTTATTTTCTAGTAATTTATAGATAGAGAAATAGATAGATATGACAATAAAATATTTAAATAAGAATTCAGATAAAAGTACTATAACACTTATTTGACACTTAAATCTGTCCTATACAAAGCAATACTAAAATCCACATCTTTTTCAATCCTTAAATCTGACGTCTATTTCGTAATTTTCATCTTTATCTGTATGTTTCTGTTCCGTGTCTTTTGTCGGTGCTCCTCCTATGTATATTTTATCTCCTGTATAAATGTATTCTTGGTGATCTCCCGCCAGTCCTGACGGTCCCTCATCAGGTTTCTTTGTTGTTTTCATAACATATTCTGTTGTGGATACTGCTGCTGTTGTTACCGGTGTTGGTTCTCTGGTTAATGCTGTAGGCTTGACATTATTCGTGTTCATATTTTGATCATGGATATTAATATTTGTTGTGTTTACATTGTTGTTGTTCGCATATTCAAGTGTGTGAGGTTTTCCTTGGTAGTTGTGGGATTGATGTCCATTGTTTCCATTTGGCGTTTCATCATACTCTGATGAATGATGATGTTGTGGTGGTCCTGGTGGGTGATGATGATGTGGCATTTGCCCTGGTGGGTGATGGTGTGGTGGTGGCCCCGATGAATGACGATGATGAGGAGGTCCTTGTGGATGATGATGAGGAGGTGGACCTGGTGGGTGATGATGAGGAGGTGGACCTGGTGGATGATGATGAGGAGGTGGACCTGGTGGATGATGATGTGATGGTGGCCCTTGGTGATGATGGTGGTGATCATGATGATGATAAGGTGGCCCTGGATGATGACTTGATTGATCCTCGGGAGGTCCTGGTGATAGTTGTGGTTGGTTTTGTGGTCCACGATTGCCTCCTATATTATCATAGTAATTAAAACCATTGGAATTTCCGTTATACCCATTACACTTGATAAATAGCATTAGTAACAATAATATATTACACGAGTATAATGCTTTCATCTTGCCACTTAATAATATAAGTTTGATAACACAACAACACGATACGTCTCGAGACAATACTGCAATCAACTGACGAAAGAAACAGTATTTATTATTATATAAAAAAAATAAAACCAGTTTCAATGGGCAAAAACTAAAAACTTCTGATGTTAACAACCTACATAATTGAATGTTTTTGTTTTATATCCTCAAATATACGGATGGTTATCAATAGTTCACGTATAAACATTGGCGGTTTCTTTGTATTTTTTAAGATAAAACAATCTAAATTTTACATAAAATTAAATTTCATGTTCCACTACAATTTCCAATTATAAACAACATTTTTCTCTGTTATGAATGTAATGCAACTAAGTAGTATTAAAATACTGTAAATAACAATTTTCTAGCCTTATTTTATTGAATAAAACAGAATGCTATACATATTTTTTATATTAAATATTTCTTTTCTGGTCATTAATTTTAACATCGCTGTCTATCGCACAAGCATCTAAAATTGTTTGCATACTGTAAAAACAAAAAAACAAACTAACAAGAAGAAAAATAAAGTAACTAAAAAGGTTGTCTTTTATTTATTTAAATTAAAATAAATTATATTAAGTACATAAAGAAATTATAGTAGGTAGGTAAAGAAAAAAAAATTGAAATTAAGAAAAACAGTAATTACTATGTAGGAAACGCAATTAAAATATCTTCGTACGGATGTACATACAAATATTTTATTCACACAGCCATACTCCGATAGAATTCATGCTCAGAAAATAATATTTATGTCAGTAAATATGTAAATGTAAGTATAAAACACCGGTCTCCTAATGTGCTCTTTTCAAAAGATGTAAAAAATAATAATTTAAATTCCACCGTTACTTTACGATAACATCGTCTTTGTATAAATATTTAAAAAAAAAATTATAAAATTTTTCTGCAAAATAATCATGAAGGTCATATAGATTAGTGTTTTGATTTACATACATAAAAAAACTATAAACTGTTTTGGACATACTGTTTGTTTTTAATTACTATGAATATAATAAATATTAATATTCAATTCAATTTGATGGATCTCTATTAAACCTTACATCTATTTTAAAATCTTCTTCATCGTTATCTGTGGGTTTCTGTTCCGTGTCTTTTGTATGTGCTCCTCCTATGTATATTTTATCTCCAGTATAAATGTATTCTTGGTGATCTCCCGCCAGTCCTGACGGTTCGTCATCAGGTTTCTTTGTTGTTTTCATAACATATTCTGTTGTGGACACTGCTGCTGTTGTAATCGGTGTTGGTTCTGTTGTGGACGCTGTAGGCTTGACATTATTCTTGTTTGGGTTTTGATAGTAAATATAATTAATCTCAATATTTTCCTTGTTGTAATCGTTCCAAGAATTCGGTATTTCTTGGCCAATCATCAATGGATTAACTACATATCCGTGATTGTTATTATTAACTAATGGTACGATTTGGTTGTGTCCATAATATCCAGGTTTATGACCAGTATTGGCTTCGTTATTCTGGTGGTATCCAACGTGATCGTTATATTTATGGTCGTGGCTATTCTCGTTGTTTTGATAATTACCTTGTTCATTGCTTATGTAGAATGGTCTTAATACATTGTCATTAGCCTTGTTGTCCATCGATTCTTCAACTATCACTAATATAACTTCCTCATTCGACCCTTGCTTTGATGGGTAACCGTTTGGTTGAGAAAAAAAGTTTTCTGATAGTGATATTGGTAAATAACTCTCTGGTTTTCCCGATGAATAGTAATCTTGCGATATCGGTCTGTTGTTCGGTACATTTTCATTAAAATGTACGTTGATACTTCCATAAACTCCGGCATTATTAGAATATCCGTAACACTTTATAATAAAGTTCAGTAAAAATAATATTTTTAAGTTAGTTTCTTTTTCGCACTTCATAATGTTAGATTTGAATCTCAGTGACACAGCGTTTGGTTAAGAATCTCGTTCTCAAATGAATTACTGTATGGCGACATCTGCAAATAATCATTAGCTATAAAAACAAGTTTCAACAGTCATTCCTATAGTCAATATTTAAACACGTAAAATACTTCAATGAAAGTCAAATATGAATAAATAAATATAAAGATCATAATTTTGTATCAATCCAAAGTGAGTTGTACCTAATTCCTATAAATTGAAACATGCAGCATGATTCTTGTAATCTTGTGTTTTTGATGAGATGACAGACATTTTTTTCCTATTTATCTAATGCTGTAATCAGTAGTTGACACTTTTTATCTTCGAAATTGTTCCGTTATTTAAAGTTTTTGTTGGCCGTGAATACATTAATAATAAATTATAATGTTTATTTCTTCTTCCAAACTTGTTATGCCTTGTGTTGTCCAATTTATAATAACAGCATTAACCGTTACAATAGCCCATATATTTTGTTGAAACGGAGAAACTATTACTTTTAAAGTTTATAAAATTCAGAGTAATCAAAAAGTTGCTGGAGTTTTGAGCTATTTTAAGTCTTAAGGGCTGTTTTCAACTTAGCTAATACATTATTTCAGCGTTAATAAAAAAAGGAATTTTAAAAAACAAAGAAATTTCTTAGTAATTATTTGGTTAATAATTTAAAAAATCATAAATAATTATTAAAAAACTTTTACTTTGAGTCAACAATAAATACCACATTATTAAGAATCTAATAAAAAAATCATAAGACAATGTTACATTCCTAGTTGCACAATATTTGTCCCGTTTTCATTTGTAAAGACATTTATATCGGAAAACGTGGCAAAGATCCGAACATCGAAAAAAACAAAAAAGTTCGAGATTTTCATAACTTTATATTCTCTGACCATCTTTCTCTCAGATACTTGAAATGGTGATTAATAGGTTTATATGTATTAAAAAACGTTTCTTTCCAATTGATAATCGCTTGAATAATAGTAGTTTGGTTTTTTACAAACTAAAGAGTCACGATTTCAATTTCGGCGATCAACTTGTTGGTACCGGCGAGTTGAGGGTACGAGTCATTTGGGTGAAAATATGTCAACTTGTCATAAATTAGTAACCACTATAAGATTGCATGAAATCAAACGTTTCTAGCTGGAATTTATATAAAACCTGTTAATCAATGAGAGAGTATGTTAATTGTGATATGATATTCGAATTTATGATGAACAATAAAATGATTCATTAAAAAAAGCATAAATCATGATAATGGTTTATTGGAGGGGTTCCCAAACATATTTTGTCTATTGCCCACTTTGAGAATAAATTATTTTTTATTGTCCTTCAAGTACTGAAAAACCACTATAACTTATCCTAGCTAAATGAAATAACTGTTTAGTTTAAAAAATTAACATGCTTACATGCAATCATGCATACCTACATAAAATAAACACAAACATATTTCAAAATAATTTTATTTCCAAACTAGCTTTCCGCCCGCAGCTTCGCCGCGTGGAGTTCGGTTATATCGCGTTTCCAAGAGAACCTTTCAAAAGTCTGGGATAAAAACTATCCTATGTTCTTTCTCAAGGTCAACTCTATCTCTGTACCGAATTTCATTAAAATTTGTTCAGTGGTTTAGGCGTGAAAGCGTAGCAGACAGACAGACAGACAGACAGACAGACAGAGTTACTTTCGCATTTATAATATTAGTAGGGATTAACTATAAGCAAGTTTGACAAATCAAGAAACGTTCAACTTTGGGTGAAAGCAATATTAAACTATTTGGTTGTTTGAGATGAAATATAATAGTAACATTTAATTTATATAGGTTAATTTAAACCTATTGTTAAAAACTAAAACTGATATAATGTCGGACGGTAACAAGATTATTTGTATTCAGTAACAGATAACAATATTTTCATGCTACTTCCTATATGTATGGAACATAATAATAATTATTATTGTGTTTATATTTAAGAAATTTCAATACAATAGTGAAATGTTTTAAGTACAACAAATATATAGGTAACGCCTTTAAATAAATTTAATTAATTTTATTCTAAATCATATACATTAATTGTTAATATTAGAGAAAACAAATAAAAGTAAATATTTTTAATATCTTACATTAATAAGGCACTTTTTAACTTTGGTTACAATATTAGGAGATATTCTGAATAATTTATTTTTTTAAATAACATGTACAGTTAAATACAAGCTTATTATTAATAAGGTTTCCTCATTGTTACTTCCTAGATAACATTTCTAATAAGTGATATAATTAACATCAATTTTAATAAAGTTTTAAGTACAGGAAACACTGAATATACAAATTTTCTTACAAATTGTATGTGCTACAGCATATTACACTTTTTTTCCATAACATGTGCTTTATTGTATACAGTTTCTAATTAGATACCTATTGTTGTGCAATAATGCTTTATTTTAAATATATATGTGTTATTATATACAAATAAACAGCATGAAGTTTATTGTGAGTTTTTCAAAATATATTTTTTAATAAAAATTAAAAGGATACAATTTCTTAAAGTTGCCATATACATGAATAAAGTACAAATGTGAAGTTAATGGGAAAGTTAAAATAAGTCTGGATAAGAATATATATTTTTTTCACTGTTAAGTTTTATTTTATTTATTACAAATGTCCTGAATAACTATTTTGATGTAATTTATAGAAAAAGTGAAGTTTTCGGGTAGCAATATTCTGACTTCTTAAGTAAATTTAAACAAGAAATATGTAATATGATATCGGAGTGCTGTCTTAGTAAACATTTTGTTAAATCTTTTTTTAGTTGATTAATTTATATTTATATCACGATTATAAATTTACATAATATCATAACCATTTCACACTTAATACAATAAGAATATATATAAATTCGTCCACGTTTTCTAAGATACGCTACATTCAAACAATTATAAAATATAATGACTTTTAACATTTTGAACACGAACAATTTATCAATTATGAGATTATAATACAGATCTACAGTCATCCTTTGATAATTATGGATACAACTTTTCGGAAATATGAAAATTCAGTTCATAACGTCAAATATTTAAGAGCTGTAGACCATAGACATACACTGAACCGTTATATATAATTAAAACATAAAAAAGGACTAATGTTAAGTGAAAGATAGATGAAGTACAAAAATAAAAGTTGGCAGTAATCTAAACAAAAATGTCACAGATATAAAATCATGTAGTTTACAATATAAAAATTCTGAATAACATAAACTTGAATGAAATCAATAGTTATAAGAGATAAATTAAATTTCTTATACATATTTTCTATGAAGAATCGTATTTTATATCAAAAGATATATGATACATTTTAATAGTAAAAAAGCTCAAAAACGCTCTTAATCAAGCTCAATTTCTTAAAATTAAGAATAGAGAGTATAATTAAACTTAAAATACATTGTAACACAATCATGACAATTTAATAAAGTTGTCTTTTTTAAGTTTAATTTTTATCTATTTTAGAAAAAACAAATTGTTATTCAAAATTAGCAACAATGTTGAACTTGTTATTAAAATAAAGGTTTTGAGTGAACAAAAGTATTAGTTAAAAAGTTGTTACATACTAATTTTTAAGATTCGTAGATCAGTCTCTTACTTATGTCTATGGTATACAGATGAATTGAATTTCTTATTTTAAATAATAATAAATATCATTGTCAGTGTCAAATGTACCAGTATAGTAGCCGGCATGTAACTTGGCAATTTAAGCGAATTGGCAAGTTTGTTAATGTACACTGAGTGCAACCAAAAATGTCACTTTCGATGGTTATCAATAACAAAAACATTGTGGTTAATTTAAATGCTCGCAAGTGTACTCGTAAGAAACATCAAATCATACACATGGAATTCTGCCGTCTCATTTCTGTCTTCATACCTAAAACACCTAAAAATCGCATCCTGCGCATCTATCGTCTTATGCCAAGTTAGGTGCCCGGTACTATAGTCTATAACAGATTAAATGCTGACGTTATCGCTGATAGTGGATATAGTTTTCTTTTCCTTTTCAGGGTAAGAATGTAAGGGGCAAGGAGTTCTTTGTACGCTTCTCTTATTGTGTGGACGTTGGGGTTTGGAGCCTCGTTGTGGGGTTTTGGGTGTGGGACGTTTAGTTGTGTCACCTGCCGGTTTATCGAACACCTTGCTGTTCTTTGAAGCCGCAGGCTGAGGCCGGGGTCAATCAATCACGTGTTTGATTCTTACGTAAAGAATACAAGAGAAGAAGAACCCGAATATCGGTATAACTGACATACCAACTCCGACGGCGGCTAGTATTATGAGATTGTCGCGTATGTGATTTGTGAAGTGGTCGATGCAACCCTGAAAAATTATTTCTTACATTATAGGGTTGAACATCATTAACGTTTTGAATTTATAATTTGTAAGCATAGTTCAAACTTGTATTTAAATTATATAACAGTAAAAACTCGGTACCAGAACATTTTGAATTGTCTGTCATTTTTATTCTATACTAGCTTTCCGCCCGCAGCTTCACCCGCGTGGAATTCGGTTATATCGCGTTTCCAAGAGAACCTTTCGAAAGTCTGGGATAAAAACTATCCTATGTTCTTTCTCAAGGTAAACTCTATCTCTGTACCAAATTTCATTAAAATCAGATCAGTAGTTTATGCGTGAAAGCGTAACAGACAGACAGACAGAGTTACTTTCGCATTTATATTATTAGAAGGGATTTTAATAACAACCTGTCATATTATGTCGCATCTGTGTTCTATATCTAGTCAATATTAAATATTTAAAGTATATTTATTTTGCATCAGTGAACTATATACGAATTTATAAAAGTAACTCGCATCACTTGTGTATCTGAAATGTTTTATGTATACATACGTTATAGTATATATTGGATGGATGGTCCCTGGCGCCACATCGGCTCGTTGGCGTCTTGCAGCAAGATTCCGGCACTAAGAGGCGAGGGTCGTGTTCGTGCCACACGCTTTTACGCCAGTCATCATAACGAACGGCGCCGCAACACTTAAACTAAACACACATATACTTTTTATTTTTATTATATATGTGCTGTGCTCTGAAATCTTGTTGGCATGATTATAAATATATTGTGATTTTAATTTATTCGAAAAAAAATGTGCTAGAATCGAGTGTTATCAACTTAAAAATGATTAACAGTAGCAAAATGTAATGCCAGCCCTGTGGACGTTACCGTGATGTATTTCGTACGCGGTATATATAAAAGAATTTATATAGGAATGAGGCATGCTTTTAACAAATAAAAATAAAAGAATACTACCATTGAGACAAAAAATCCATATTATAGATTGATTGAGCAATACCAGAAAATCAAACCAAACGCCAACAATGACGTAGTTGTTAAAAATTAAATGGGTCATCGTAAAATTAAGAAATAAATTGAAGATTAAATGTAGAGCAGATACTTGTGATGCTAATGCGAAAATCTCTACTGTTTGAGGTACTGTTTCAGGTTTGTTTTCTAATGTTCAGCGTTACTTTCAGTCAGGTCCTATGAAATGGCTGCAGCCAGTATTTATACTTTTCGTATACAAGTTGATACTTAAATGTTTCCAGTACAAAATTACATTGGTTCTGCTCTGGTCTTGTGTGTTGTTAGAGAATTATAAGCACTGTATTTTATAATATGTATATAATACCTCTGTTTGCATAGTGTCCACGGCGTTAGTGACATCAGTATCCAACGCGTAGTTTGATATGAAAGTTTTATTTAATTGTGATCTGAGCTCGTGTTCCACCTCGACCTGATAGTAGTAGGCGAGTCCACCGGCACCAGCCTCCAGGATAAACGTTATTAGCAGGAAATATGTATACTGGAATAATAACATAAATAAACATGTATAATTTATATTAAAAACAGTTAAGTAGTATGTACTTTTAATATAAATAAATAGTATTATAATTATTTGCAAAAGTAAATATTATATGAAGATATTTCAAAGAAAATGTCGTTTCTTACACAAATATTATAAAGGGTCCTTTTGTACTTTATGTATATGGATGTATTTTTTTTTATAAATACTTATTGACAATTTAAAAAAAATCTATTTTTTAAACTCTTCTATTTTAATCATATATTGATTGAATACGTAACAGGTGTGACCATTATAGAAAATATTTAACATTTTTTTCTCACGCTTACACATGGTATAATTTTTTTCTAACACGGGTATATAATGTAATTAGTCACCAGTTACGGTTTAATATAATAAGGTCGGGCTTAGTCATAATGTAATTAACTTATGAGAAGACGGAAATTAGCCACTATGGATTATATAATAAATGTTATGAAATTTTTTACCACTCATGAAGAGTTTTTAAATCTTTTCTCAATTAAACTTACACATAATAAACTGGTTCTATTCTCAGTCTTGAGGCCGCAGCATCCCAATGCACACAGCGGAAGGCCCAGCGCCCCCGCTAATATTAAAAGATAAGCTATTGCCTGGTATGTGAATGTCGGCAGTAAGGACACGAACCGATGCCTCGATGTTACCGTCCACGCACCTACCAATAAAACACCCGCTCCTGCAAACTGATATTATAACATTATAATAGTTACATTTTAAATTATATCACGTAGTCATTGAAGAAAATATTTTGATTATATCCCGCTGTTAATTTTTTTTATGATAGTTAATTAATATTCTAAACTCGAAAAGAAAATTGACGTCATAAAATATTTCATATCATTACACGGTTCTGTTTTTCTTTTTATTATTAAATATTACAAATCAACAAAACATAATCATCACCTTACAAATTACGACACGGCGTCTGTACTTTCTTTTACACTGAAATAGTTTGCTGAACCTAATTGTACATAAATATTAATAATTTGCCCTACATTTGTTTATTGCTAAGATCTTTTTGTTATTGTTCTAAGAAAATATGAATAAAATATTATAACAAATGATGTTATGAAAAATAACAGACGTCAATCATAATGTTTTAACAATTGTGAAGTCAAAGCAGGTCAGTAGGTAAGTTAAAAGGAAAGTTACGTGCATGCTGCTTTAGTTTCAATAATGGCCAAGGAACAAGATTTTACTTTAAACTAATGACATTCAATTGGGTATCAAGATCAGCACAGATGTAATTTTAAACGTACATACCTAATTTTTTAATTGTCAAGTACATTCAGAGTACATTCTCAGTTTGAATCGTCACATAAAGTTTTTCATATGTTAATCTTCGCTCATTGTAGTAGTAACGTACGTTATTGAATGAGAAACGGTCAAGCTTCGAGTGTGATGACGACAGAATAAGTAACTATACATAAATATCAAAGGCAGTTGTCGTCTGCGAGTGTCCCCTTTTTTTAATCATTTTTTTATTTTTTTTTATTTATTTCTATTTTCAAGTAACAATGACTCATTTAAAAAATAATACATGGATTGTTAATAAAAAAATAATACATAAATTGTTAAATATAATAATTAATTAATTAATTTGTAATTTTTTTTGTAAATTTTAAATAACCTGTTTTTATTATAAACTAAATTTACGAATAGATTAAATAAAACTATAATCTGATCTCTTTATATCTTTACATATGTGACATAATCATTCGTTTTTAAACGTAGCTCCGTTTAATATAAATGTATAATATGTAAGGTTTAATCGATTAATTCTCTATATTAACTTTATTTTCTAATTCCGACTACCATATATAGGTACTCTTCTAAATGTAATAAAGGAATTGTGCGTTCAATTATTTTTTATTAAAAGGTTAATTGGATGGCACCAGAAAGTCATCTAGATTCGGGACGAAGTAATAAAAAAAATGGGTCCAATTTTTTACCAAACGAATACATGTATAAGCCGTTTTAGCAGACTTCAATAACACGGAATACGTGCTTTATATATAAAAAAAAATCTTTTAAGTATAATTATTTATGAATTATAAAGTCAAAGCATTTCTATTTCGAGTCTCAAATATGAAATACTAAAGTTCCTTTTATAAAATTGGTTATAGAAGATGGTAACAAGCAGCCTCGGTAAAGTCCTTGACCCTGAGTCTAGAAGACACGTCATATTCACGAAGATAATGTTCGTTGACAATTTAGAATTAAAAATAGGGTTATCTAAGTAGGCTAACCCATTGCGGCCAAGCCGAGAACAAGGATTATCTTTATAATAAATAGACGTGTCAGTATATTTGGTGTCACCATTACAACACACTAATCGAATTTAATAAATGTTAAATTAATACTTTCACATTGTACATGCAGGTTTTTGTTTCTTCCAAAACCATGAAGTATTAAGTAAGATCGTAGACGCACCATAATTTTAATGTCAAAGTCATGTCAAGCGATAAATCATTATAAAATATATAATATACTAGTTTTTGCCCGCGACTTCGTCCGCGTTAGTTTCGTCATTAGTAATATATGTATAGCTGAACGGTCGAACTCTATTCCGTTTTAGAGGCCATTAATAATCAGGTTTCTCCTATTTCAATCGAACAGAATGATTGACATATTAGTTAGTTGTCAAAACTTATGTCAAAGAAAACGTTTGTATGGGAAATAGAAAAGGGCTGTTTTTATTTTTTTCCCAGTAATGAATCAATTTTTTTCAGCTTTTATACCTTCCCTGAACCTCCACGAACATTTCGAGACTAAGATAAGATAAATCCGTTCAGCGGTTCTCGAGTTTTAGCGAGACTAAGGAACAGCAATCCATTTTTATATATGTATATAGAAGATTAGTTACTCCCTTATTAACAAATTATTTCATCTTTATTCTTTCTTGAATACCATTCCAATTATTTCACATTAAGTTACATTTACAAGTTGTATAAAGAGTAACACATGGATACAAAAATATTATATAATAATTATAATATCCTGATGAAGTTTGATACAAAAAACTACATTTGAATTGCGTAATATTAAATTACCAAAGTAACCGGAATCATATTGTTGATAATTATATCCTCAAAAAAATAAAATTTACATTTGTAGTTTTCAAACTTTATTTTTTTTACTAAAACCGTGTCTCGGCTTCATGAATTCAAAATTATTTAATGTGGTTGTGTAAAATTGTTTCTGTTGCATCTTTTCAGATGGACATTGAACTTATCAGCTTTTTATTAATTCATTGTGAACATCAATAGATAAATAATAAATGAAATTACCGGAAGAAATAATTTTATTCGTGGTGCATTATGAATTTATATTTCCTCAAAGACAAATAAATATGTGTAAACGAGTAACACTTTCGTTGTGTGAAGCTGCTAACATATCTAAATGGCTTCATAAATTAAGAAGACAGTGTTAAATAATTACAGGGCTTAACAAAAGTACTGAATAGTTAATGTTGACAGCGACTTGCGAGATATTAATATATTTTTTGTGTTTTTCAAATTGACAGTAACAAATATTAATTTTATGATTTTGAATCTTTAAAGATACTTAAATTTTGAGTGATAATTTTACTACCCAAAGAATAAAGACATCAGATTACCGTAAATGCATATTTAAACTATTAAATATATTTTATCAAGAATTCTCCTTTTAAAATGGGCAAATAAAAAAAACAATCCTCAAAATTAAAATGCTTTCGATTTATAGCCAGCCAGAACAACGTGATTATATAAGTATAATTAGAATAATTTAAACAACTCACCAAATATATAACATTGAATATATGAAGAACACATTTGAGGAAGTTAACGCTGCAACAATCGGCATCCCTGGATTTCCGTGGCTTCACTTTTTTCTTTTTCGCCAATAGTGCGTTTGCATCGTTTTTTTCTTTTGCCATTATATTCCACTTTCTTATTCACTTGATACAGCATATGTGATTCAGATTCGATAAGTTTTCTTTTCCCCAATTCTGAAATATAACATTTAAGTTATGATTGTCTAGTGTTTTAAATTTTGTGTGTATTTTTTATATCAATGACATATTTACAATACAATTTTTAATTTATATCAATGACTACCTTCGCTTATGAGTTTGAGGAAAAAGTAATTACTGTTGGTAAAATATTTAATGAATGAAAACACAATACCAACGATTTACATTTTATTAGCAGCCTTAATAAAAAATGGAATATTACAACACTTAGGCTAAAAAAAATACAGAATGTCTCAAAATAATTGACAAATAATTAGTAAAAAATAAAATTTGTATACAAGTGATATAAAATATTACTTCCAGGAAATTGTAATAGCAAAGTATATATGTACAGAACATTAGTATATAAAAATTAATCAGCTTTGTGTACTATTAGCAGTATTTAAATTCAGTCACATACATCACATAATTCATCAAGTCCTTAAAATCCTTGGGATTATATACAACATTATAAAACAGTATTTTTAGTGGTTAATGGCAACTATCCATTTTTATTTCTAGTCATACGTATATTTCTCACTACTGTTCAAAGTGTTGTAGAGTTACTTCCAATTTTTCAACTACCTTCTTATAAAACGTTATTTGCTGCTTCAGAAATTTCTGCATTGTTGCATTTAAATCAACCGTCCTCTCTGACTTGAAGTGGTTTATTTCGGCAAGAAGGGCATATGATATAACATTGTTTCTTCTAAACACTTCATTTAATTGTTCCCTTTCCATTTTATTTTCAGCCCTTAATCGCTCACACTCTTTTTTCTTCTGAACAGCTGCTTTGTGATTTGCTAATACATCAGGAAATGATCCAACTATACCTTTGTAAAGGTGAAATTTATCACCAAGTGGTTCAAAGTCATATTTTGGTTGTTCCTCATACATTCTGCCTATTTCAATGTAGGCCCCGCCAGCCATTTTGATAGCTGAAGTTAGTTTTGAAGTAGAAACTATTGTGCCTTCATCTAAACTTAGCGCATTTCCTAAGTTATAAAAAGCCTCTCCTACTTTTTGACAATCACTCTTGTAAGGCCCTTGGAATCGCTTTGTTTGTGCTATACACATATTTGTCAGAGATTTAACAGAACTATCCATGCTATTCATGAAAATGTGGCATTGTTCGGTGATGTGGTCTACTTGTGATTGAAGTAAAGCTTTTTCAGGTACAACTAACGATATACAGTAGTTTAGTCCTAATAAATTATCTCTCTCTGCTTGTCTTTTACCAGCCTTCCAACGTTTCTCATCTGTGCAAGTTAGGAAATGTTGCCACACTTCCGATCTGGATAGTACAGGATGCTTACACATCCAATCCACAAACTCCTGTAACTGAACTCTTCTCCTCTCAATCAATTGTTCATCATATCTTCCAGAGATCTGTTTGTCAGGTAAAGGTGGGATTGGAATGAGTGTGAATTTCTCCTGCAATCTCTCGTGAAGCCAATCAAAATGCTTATATCTTCTGGATACTTGAATATTATTGAAGGAGGGAGTCAATTGATATGCTATGAAGCTCTTAATACCTTTAAATTTGGATTCCTTTTTTGGTGATGCAACAGTTACATTATATGGTTGTGGTATGGGCGACCAAATATATGCATCCCCTTCTTGTTCTATGTATATTTTATCTGAATCTGGTACTTCAACATTCAAAGTACCTAAAAGGTAACTCTCACCGCTGACTTTAGATGAAGGTGCAAATTTATTTTTTCTCACTGTGCCAACCGATGAGCCAAAGGTGGATGAGTTGTCATCTATTTGATGGTTAAGATCACTAATTGGCATTCCCGGTAATGGTGTAAGCGGTTGATTCACTGCCTGCTTTGATTGCTGTGGGCCAGGTCCAATTTCTGAATATGTGTCATCCTCCCAATCATCATCCCAGCCCTCATCATGTGAAGCCGCCCTTTGGTAATTATTGTCGCCAGCACTGTATTGGTGATCTCCCCAATCATCTGCAGCTTGATCGTATCTTGGTGCTGGAGGCGCCATTTTCGTGGGTGCAGACTCATCTGGTGTGACTTTCCTCACATATGCAGCGGGAAACAAACCAGTTTCACCTCTGGAATTTCTCCCCTCCCACCAGCCTTCTCCTATATCTGTATTTATAAGTGTTAGTATTTCTCCAGAGGTGATAGACATCTCGGTTGTGCCTGGTTCACCAGTAAAGTCATACAAAGCCTGTACTTGGGTCGACATTTTGGACCCTTGAACCTAAAACAACATACAAACATTAGTGACACATGAAGCAATAAAAATGTTGTTTATCTTATCTTATCTATTAAAGAAGCAAGTATTTGCAAAGGTGTGATAAACGTTAGCTAGCTGGGTGGTTTTTATGTGATGCTTAAAGTATTTTTTATTGGAATTGGTAACGTTCCATGTTCCAAGAAATATTTCATAATAACAACATGTATTAAAATGAGACACCTGAATAAGAAGTTGATACTGTGTTTCTAAATTTTCAAATTCCCATCAGGATAATATCTTACAAATGAACACAATTTCTTGTCTTTTTAATAAAAGAAGTAAGCATTCAATATTACGTATTTGTCAAAGATATCCTTACAGCTTTAATGTTACAATTATTTACGTAGTTGTAAGTAATTGTAGTTAGAAAGAGTAATTTCTTAATTACTGTAACTATTAATCAATAGTTTTCTAAAAACATATTAACACAAAACAGTTTCAAAGTTTATTGTTTTGTAAGATAATCTAAATTCTTGTTTTGTGATGGATATACATGACGTCAAGGTTTTAGAACAATGTTTTACATTTTCCTACTGAATCCGATAATATATTCACGGTATTTAAAAGATGCTAGGTAACAAAGGTAATAAGGTCAAAATAATATGTTACTTACGTTTATTAACAAAAACCACTAATTTCAAGGCGGATACTACTTATACAGTCATCTGAATGACAGATTGATTCGCAAGAATTTGTTTTCATTGATACCACTGTTTTCCTTAACGTGGCAAACGACAAATACTTATTTTACCCTTTCTCATTGGCCAGAATGTAAAAAATTTTTCTTCCACCAATGACAAGCCGTGTATTTAAAATCAATGCCGAACATTGCGCTACAAACCATAAACCTATGAAAACAACGCCTGCTTTGCTAACGTTGTACATAGTTATACAAATATGAAATAGATGGCGTTAATAAGAAAGTGTACCTAAAATTATCATTACTTACGACTACACTTCGAATGTTAGTCGTGAAATCATTTTTGTTAATATGTAATATTAAATATCTAGATCACACTTCTCTCTGATTCAAGTATAATACAATAAATAATTATAGTGATTTTCGTTTCAAAATTCAGTTGTAAATGTGTTTAAATGGATCTACTTAATCATTTTATAATTAATGTCATTACAATGTACAGTTGGATATATGTAGACTAAGATGTTTATAAAGTTATAAAAGTCATTGGATATAGAACTGTTTTCTTACCTCCAATTAATTATTTTGCTCAGCTTTCGAGACACAATGTGTGCACTCTGCGCTGTTATAACCACTTTGCTAATAGTTTTTGTGTCTTAATTTTTATTTTTTGAAGTATTCCAAATATATACTTATAAGTAGGTAATATATTTTGTAAATCAGATCACTAGAAAATTATATTTTAGAAAGATATGATTCTTAAGTGAATATATATATACTATATGTCTTATTTTTATATTATAAATAATGGTATTATTTAGTGACAGCTCATAATACAATGTGCAGTTACTATTTTGAATATGGTGCCATAGTCAAATGGACATAAAAATTTGCATAATATTATTGTCATTAGATTTATATATTTTTATTTAAATAATAGGTGCATTTTGGGTGTCCAAATAAAATATTCAAAAATTTAAGGCTTTTATATATTTTTTTAAACGTTTCATGAAAAATAAACATTAGTTTGTCGTTTTCTTCTATAATTATTTAAATTATTTATTTAATGTATTCTCTAACTAATTTTTGAAATAATGTGTAGGTAATTAACAAATTAAAAAGATGTTTAATATTTATTATATGTACTACATACCATTGGATACATAATGTGAAATTTCTTTATATTTACTATTTTATGTAATCTGAATGTCTTAAATTTGTATATTTTTATAAATTCATTAAAAATAAAATAAAATGGATATTTATACGAGAATTTAAGTGACTAATTATTATCAATGAATATAGAGTCTGATCAGAGCCACAAACAATTGATTCAATATCCGAAAATCTGGAACAACATTATTTTTGTTTAAGGATGTAGGCGTGTAGGTATATATATATGTATATATTATCACGGTCATGCAAAACATAATCTTTTATGGAGACACATTTTATTTTGCTAATAGCCTATCACAGATACAATTTTTTAAGTAGATAGCACCGTATCCATTGTCCTGAATTGAAGGTATATTTAAATAAGGTTTGTATTTTTGTTAGAGTATGGACCTGTTGTTTATAAAAAAATATCGGAAAGAATACGTAAGAAATATTCTAAAACAAGCGTATTTTCTGAAAGTATCCGCCAGTCAGATGTCGTCGCCAGATGTACATTGAGACGCTCCAAATCTTTTAGTTGGATGTTTGCCAAATTTTAAAAATCCGTACAAAACATTCTGGTTTCATTCCCCGATACGTAATGTAAATACAGGTGCTGCTACCAGCTCACGTTGATTATATTTTAAGGCAATATTATTATAATATTTAAAGTATTGGTAAAAACACAACAACGTTAAGTATGTTGCCATTTCAAAAATAAATTCAGTTTATGATATACTTTTGATGATCAATGTATTTAATTAAAGCGTACTTATAAAAAAATACCGTATTCTTCTTAATAAAGTACAGTTTAATAATTTATTTAAGTTAACAAAAAAGTTGGTAATTTGTTCCAAAGATCATAAAATATTTATAAAAAAATATAATTAAACAAATGATATATTTGTTTCACTATAGTTTAACATTAAGGAATGAATAATTGAAGAAAGCCCGTATTTAATTATGCTAAAAATTTAAAATCGTGAAATTTTAGCTCAATTTTGTCTGTAGCATCGGTATCTTATCATTACCTGAAGGCCAAAGACTTGTGACTTTATATACATTTACCTATATATTTTTTACATCTACAAATCCTATTGAATATGAAAGCAGAAGTCGCAGCTTTTTGATTGTAAAGAAAGAAAGAAATTTTCGCTATAGAAAGAAGAAAGAAACGCCACAAGAATGGAAAATGCATGTAAATGTAAATTGTTTGAAAATGAATAGCTCGATTTGCCATTCGAAGGGCATGTACCTACTTATGTAATATTAACTTCAGCAAAACTCTTTCTAGCCTCTCACGGCTTTTAGTACAAACACACGTCATGAAAAACATATAGTAAAGAGGATTTATTTTTACTTTTAATGGGCTATAAATAACTTTATTTAATAATATAGTAATTGGTGGAAAAGAATAGATTTGATTTGGGCTTGACCGGACTAATTACGGAATTGTAGGAACTTTAAATCAGAAGCCAAAACTTTATAAAAGTAGTTTTAAAGTTTCTGGTTTACATCTGTATTCTGTAGGGAGACTTAAAAAGAGCTTGAGAAATAGTATAGCGAAACAGTTAATACAGTTAGTTCTTTTCAGGTCGAAGAATTGAAATAAATTCACAGAGGGCTGCATCTAAATAAATTCTACTTTCTAGTCAAAGCAGATTGACAACTGAAATAACTTAAGAAAGAAATTGGATTTTTCGATTGTATGAAAATAAGTAACTTAACAACTTTTACTAAAATCAATGTCAGTTCGACTTCTAAAAATGTTTTTATTTTGTGTTTTTTTTTAAATAATTTATGTGTGTTTTATTAAAAACAATAATTATTGTAGAAAATATTATTTTAATGTTTCTTATAGAATCAAATAAATATATTTAATAGAAAATGAAATAATTGTATTCAGATGTAGCACTAATTAAATCTTTGTTTCATTTAACGTCAATAATTTATTTTGCCAATTACGATGATTTATTAATAATAGTTGTCACAGGTATAATTTCTGTATTTTATAAAAGGTTGGTTGTAATTATATCAGTACAATTGAAAATTACCTTTTCAATAGCTGGTTCACTTGTTCGTTAAAGTTTATATCAAATAGTAACTTAGCTTTTTGTTCCGTCTTTGTTAAGTCTCTTGCGGTTTTATACTTTTTCGTTTACGGAATTTCATTTCAAAGAGTGAACTAATTGTGTGGGCACTGAACTGGAAATTTAGCAATCCTAATTTAAGATGTGTTTTCTCGTAATACATTTATTCTTTTGAGCAGATTTTTAGATTTTATTTAGTGTACGAATTGTTTCTGCTAAATAAATATAAGTGTTATGATTATCGTGACATCGTTCCACTTGTTTGGATAAAAGATGTAAAGGAACAACGTATCACGAAGCTTACTCCGGTATATGGGGTTGTTGTGATCTGTTTGCTTATAATAAGTTCGCATCATCACCCTATATATGAAGAATTCGCCGTATCACGTTAAGCTGATAAGAGTGAGCGTTGAACGTTAGAATCTCGTGTCGTGTAACAATGAAAATTTTTAATAACCACACTGTTTTTAAATTTTCTATTTTGTATATAAAATGTCATAATATTATTGGAATAGCTTAAATTTCTCACTTTTTATTGCTGCCGCATTGCATTAAGGTCATACAAAATATTTAGTTAAACGTCTTATATAAAATAATTAAAATTAATAATGATAAATATTGAAACTAAGTACGAAGATTGTAATTAAGAGATCGAATTGAGCTACGGCTAAATAAATAAATTGTTTTGGTTATAATGTAGGCATAGCTCCGTAACGTTTTTAACTATTAATTGTACGCAAAGTTTAAATTTTTAGTGCCCTTGTTAAATAGTGCGTAACAAGTTGATTATTTAATATCTGTTATCACAATATAACTCTTTGTGTTCCCTATATAGTAAAGCATCCTCTTTGTGGACGTTCGTGGCCCTCCTTCGTGGCCTCTTATATTTTAGTTTTGAATTGAATTTAAATTATCACTTTACTTGAATGCTGTTAAATGTTCTATTGTAAATTTAAGTATTTATACATTAATGTAAATGGAAAAAGATTTATAATACTACCTTCTAGGTTTTTAATAAGAAGATCTTTCGAGAAAATGCAAGATATTCTTCCGAAGACTATTTC